GGTTTAGGGTTTATGGAATTTACTTTCTTGTGCTCTGATGCTTGCTTTGATGTTTTTAAAGTTGCGCTGTCAGGGTTTAAGCTAGGGTTGGGGGTAGCCTCGGCCCTTTTCGGGCCTTCGGCGTGTCAGGGCCCGTAGAGGCCCTTATTTATTTGAAGGTCAGGGGAACCCTTTGTGTCTGCTCCTGGATTCCCCTTCTTTAAGGGCCTCAATTTAGCATCGATTTCACTACGAAAAAATCGCATTTTTCATTGCGGGTACGGGCATCCTGGGGTCCCCCTTCTTTTAGGGGGCCTTTTGAAGCCTTTTGAAGCATTTTGGTGGCTCTTGGGGTCTCTCGGGGCCTTGTTCGGACCTTCGGCGTGTCAGAGGTTTTATTCATTTAAAGGTCAGGGAACCTATTAATGAATTTTTCGCTAATGAGTATTTCAATCGCTAGGGTTTAAGCTCGGGTTCGGGGAAGCCTCGGCCCTTTTCGGGCCTTCGGCAAGTTAGGGCCCGTAGAGGCCCTTATTTGCTTGAAGGCCTTCGCAGGGTTTTGCGGTATTAGGGTTTAAGCTAGGGTTCGGGGTAGCCTCGGCCCTTTTCGGGCCTTCGGCACGTTAGGGCCCGTAAAGGCCCTTATTTACTTGAAGGTTGTCGTAGGGTTTTGCGGTGTCAGAGTTTAGGTTGGGGGCCCGTAGAGGTCCTTGCTGATTTTGGGGGGGAGCCATCGATTTCAGTACTAAAACAGAACATTTTTCATTGCGGGCAGGGGTGCCTAAAACCATCGTTTTCAATATTAAAAAATCGCATTTTTCATTGTGGGCACGGACAAATCTTGTGGTCCCCCTTCCTTTAGTGGGCCTTTTGAAGCTTTTGGAGCCTTTAGGGGGCTCTTGGCGCCTCCTGGCGCGGGGCAAGCCGGAAAGCCCTTGGCCCCAAGGCCAAAAAACCCTTGGCCTGGGGCCCTTGGTTGGGGGGCCCTTGGGCCGGGGCCTTTGGCCCGGAAGACCCTTGGCCTGGGACCCTTTGGCTTGGGGGGCCCTTGGCTATGGAAGTGGGGGGCGTCATTGGAATGGGGAACCCTTGGCTCGGAACCCCTTGGTGTGGGGGCCCTTGGCCCGGGAGCCCTTGGCTCGGGGCGAAAAGCCTTCTTGGGGGGCCCTGCCTCCAATTGCCCTTAGTTCAGATTCCAAGCCCTTGGCCCGGAGGTTGCTTGGCCCGGGCGGGGGGCCTTTGGCCCTGGGGGGCCCTTGGTGCGGGGTGGGCCCTTGGCAACCAGCCTGCCTGGACCCCCTCGCCAGCCTCCTGGTCCAGGAATCCAGCCACCAGGGGCCAGGGGGCCCGGGGCAGGGGGTGCCGGCAAACCCTGAACCCAAAACCCTGAACCGACCTCCAGAGGCAAAGGGTTACGATTTGGGGTTATACTTTAGCTACGCTAAAGGTGGTCTGGGTGCCGGCCATCCCTTAGCCGAGTACTGACGTTGTCGCAAAAAAGGCCGATGTCCGTTGGCCTGTCCAGGACAGACGGTGAGGCTTAACCCTCACCTTTCCGTTTCTCTTTTCGCTTGGGCGCTCGGGCTGTAAGGCCCTCGGCCGAGCGTTCGGGGTCTGTCGCTCGACGGAAGCGACCCCTCACTTAGTATAGGGTATAGGGTATAGGGTATAGGGTTTAGGGTTTAGGGTTTAGGGTTTAGGGTTTAGGGTTTAGGGTTTAGGGTTTAGGGTATAGGGTTTAGGGTTTAGGGTTTACGGTTTAGGGTTTAGGGTTTAGGGTTTAGGGTTTAGGGTTTAGGGTTTAGGGTTTAGGGTTTAGGGTTTAGGGTTTAGGGTTTAGGGTTTAGGGTTTAGGGTTTAGGGTTTATGGTTTAGCGCTTAGGGTGTAGGGTGGTTTAGGATTTAGGGTGCGGTGTGTCGGGTTTAGGGTTTGAGCCTAAGGGTTTGGGGTCTAGGGTTTAGGGGTTCCATGCCAGGCACACCTCCATAAGCCGGTTCCAAAGTTGAGGCTTGGGATTTCGGGCAGTTAAACTCAACCCTCAAAGCCTCAAACCCTCAAAAACCCCGAAAGAACCCTCCACCCCAAACTACCCTCAATCCAAACTTCATCAGGGCCGGGGGCCTGCAAGGTTTGGGGCTTACGGTTTAGGGTTCAGGGGTTAGGGTTTAGGGCTTAGGGTTTAGGGTCTGCAAAGCTTGAACCCTGAATACACACCCTTACGCCCTGAAAAACGCAAAGCCTTAAACCCTAAACCCTAAACCCTCAACCTTCAACCCCAAAAAGCCCGGCTGAGGTTCATCTCGGGGCTCTGGCCGCTATGAGAGGGAGACATCGGCTGGCCATGCTGTTCTTCGCTATCGGGTTGATTGACCTTGGACCGGGGGTTTAGGGTTTAGGGTTTAGGGTTTAGGGTTTAGGGTTTAGGGTTTAGGGTTTAGGGTTTAGGGTTTAGGGTTTAGGGTTTAGGGTTTTTTTACAACCCCAATGACCTCCTTTAGATGTCTAGCGCTTGCTTGGGGGTTCTTGTTGCCCAGTCGGTAGGCTTACACTCAGGTCTTCCTGCAGATGTTGGAGGCCCCGTGCTTATCGATCCCAACTTCGTAGGGTTTAGGGTTTAGGGTTTAGGGTTTCGGGTTTAGGGTTTAGGGTTTAGGGTTTCGGGTTTCGGGTTTAGGGTTTAGGGTACAGGGGTTCAGGGTTTGACAGGAGCTTTTGAGGTTGTGGAGGGTGTGTGCCCACCACGCACGAATGCAGCTGGGCGTCCACTATACGTAGTGGTAGACGTGGAAGGCATTCTCCCTGCCCCCCTTGAGCCTGTAGAGCTGTTGTCCCGGAGGGTGGACTAGTTTAGCAAGGAACAGACAGCAGGAAAAGGAAGCCCCCCCCCCCTCCCCGGAAAAAATCGAAAAGGTGGCCTTACAATAGAGACCCCCAAAAGGCCGATCATATAGTGCAGGCCAATACCGGCATATTTCCTTCATTGGGGTTTTTTCCGTGCACGGACCCTAATGTTGTAGCAGGAACTGCCAAAATACTTGGGGCAGAGCCGGCCATGCGCGCCAGACGTCTTGCAGCTTCTTTTTCAAGCCATGCCTACCATGGTCTCCTACGCCTTCCCCGAGCTGGGCTTCGCCCAGGAGCCCAGAGAGTTTCGAAGAACACCCGTGCACTGAAGAGCCTTGTCCAGCCATCCCCTTTCGGGATTGAGAGGGACGCGGCATTCGCGAGAATCCGAGATGGGCCGGCCCTTCCGAAACCCCAAGTACACTGGGTATGAGAGTTTAAGGCTCACTTGCAGGGTTTACGGGTCCCGGCAGCCAACGCCTTGTAAATGGCCCGCCCCACACAGCGGGCGGAGGGCGTTCAAGTCGAGGATACTGTAGGGCCTAGGGCGCGCCCCAAAGGGACAAAGCCCTTGCCCACAAATTAAAAGGCATCCGCCCCCCTACCACCCCCCCTAAAGCCTAACCCCTCAACCCTAAACCCTAAACCCTAAACCCTAAACCCTAAACCCTAAACCCCCCTTTCCCAGGGCCCTCTTGTGAGGCCCTCTTGCGCAGATGCGCGAAGGTGTCTCCTGTCAGAAGAGGTCGCCTATGCAGTGACTACGAAGGCTCTTGCAGCTAAACCTAAACCCTAAACCCTAAACCCTAAACCCTAAACCCTAAACCCTAAACCCTTCTGAAAGGCTCTTGGGCGCCCAAGGCCTCTGCAGGACTACTGGTGGTTTCTTCCCCGGAAGAGCGAAGCGAAAGGCTCGACCTGGAGGGGATAAGGCTTAGACTTTCGGGTTTGGGGTTTGGGGTCTAGGGTTTGGGGTTTGGGGTTTGGGGTTCGGAGTTTGGGGTTTGGAGTTTGGGGTTTGGGGTTTGGGGTTGGGGCGGGGGGGGGGGTGGGGGGGCGGGGTGGTGTTGAGTTTAGTTTATGGGGCTTATATAGGTTTGTGGGAATTATAGGTTTTCTGCGGCCGTAGGGTTTACAGGCCGCAATGTGTCGGGCGTATAGGGTTTACAGGGTTAGCGATTCAGGGAAGCTCATACGGCTTTAGGGTTCAGCGAGAGTTTAGCGTTTAGGGTTCTAGGGGCTGAAAGTGTAGGAAGTGCCAAGCCGGGTTTTTGGCTTGAGGGTGCAGGGTATTGGCCGCTTCGCAGAGCCAAGATTCCTACAAAAGTACACAACTGCATGTGGGTACCACGAACTCCGCGGGCCATTCAAGTAGGATCCTGGTGTTTTGAGGTACGTCAGGGTGTATTTGGCTACCTCCTACAATCCTTCCCTCAATCATGGGCTTCCTTGTACCCTGCAAGCCAGAAGCCCTTCATTTCGAGAAGCTGCATTCAGCTGGGATCTCGAGGGGAACATTTTCGGTCCAATGGGACAGCTTAAACCCTAAACCCTAAACCCTAAACCCCAAACCCCTGTGACTTTTCTCCTGCAGTGCGGGGGCCAGCCTCCTTCGGGAGGTGCCTGAAATCTGGTCTCTGTCAAGCAGTATACCGCAGCATTTTGCACCATACGCTACTATGTTAAGGCTGTTAAGGTTACATGGGAGTTTAGGGTTGAGGGTTTAGGGTTTAGGGTTTAGGGCTTACCCTGGTGTTAAGGTTCTATGGGGTTTCCGATATTCGGGGTTTAGGGTTTAGCGTTAGGCTACCTTATCGGGGTCCCTATTCTAAGGGGATCTTCCTATCTATGGGGGTCTCTTAAAGTGGTCCCCTATATTCGTAAACCCCCACCTGGTGGCTATACCGTTGAATAGCTTTCGCTGCAATATGCTACAGTATACTTTCAAACACGTGGGAGCCCGAGAGGCTTGCTGAAGAAAATCGCGTTGTGCAGAGGTAGCAGGTCCATGAAGCCTGATCAACAGACAGATTGTCACCCATTAGGCTATTATAGGATCAGAGAGCATACCTTGTGCCTTCTGCAGATTGCTGCCCAACTTCATCGTGTCCTCTCCTCTACAAGAAGAGGGGCGCTTTTCACCACGGCCTGCTTTTTTTGGGGGAAAAATCGGGGCCTAAGGGCTGCAGCTTGAGGGGCAAAACTTCGTGTCCGCGGTGCAGCACGTCTTGGGGCAAAGCTGGCTCAGGGGAGCGTAGAGCTGGGGGTCGCCATCGCAAAGGGTTACCTCCAAGAGGTCGGGTATGATCTCCAGTAAGGCGCAGCCTTGGGGCTTTTGAGGGCTTTAGGGGGGGGGTTTAGGGTTTAGGGTTTAGGGTTTGGGGTTTAGGGTTTTGGGGCTTAGGGTTTAGGGTTTAGGGTTTAGGGTTTAGGGTCCCGTCTCGTTTCGCTGGCCTACTTGTAGGTTCATGGGTACCTCTAGCGGCAGCTCGAACCCAACTCATTTAGGGCACTGGCGGCCCTACTTAAAAACTAACTACCAAGGAACCCTCAGGTAACGAAGAACCCCTGAAGCCTAAACCCTAAACCCTAAACCCTAAACCCTAAACCCTAAACCCTAAACCTAAACCCTAAACCCTAAACCCTAAACACTAAACCCTAAACCCTAACCCTAAACCCTAAACCCTAAACCCTAAACCCTAAACCCTAAACCCTAAACCCTAAACCCTAGCCCCCAAACCCTAAACCCTAAACCCTAAACCCTAAACCCTAAACCCTAAACCCTAAACCCTAAACCCTAAACCCTAAACCCTAAACCCTAAACCCTGCCAAGATGCCCTCGGTCTTCATCTCGCTGGCCGCACTTCGGATTTCGAGGCTCTGGTTCTGGCTAATGCCGTAGAAGCTCTCCACGGCCGCGGGGTAGAGGTTCCAGAAGCCTGGGTTTTGTTGGTTTTCTTGGGAAGCTGTTAAGTTGCCAAGAGAGGTAACCATTTCATAATTGCATGCTTGCGACAAATATTTATGTAACCCTATTCTTATGGTACACCCTTCATATCCCGGTAGCCTCACGCGCTTGAAAAATCTTTCACAGCAGCCCAGAAGCTCTGCCACGCCTCCGCGTCTGTGTCGATGTCCTCACAGGGAAGGTCGTCGATCCACATTGGCACCTCATCCAGGCCTCGGAACAGCAAGTAGGGCTTGGGGCAACGTTTAGGATTTAGGGTTTGGGGGCCTCAATGATTAGAATAGGGTTTTGGGGGATCGTATAGTACAACCGTACAGGACCACAAGGGAATACGATTCGTAGTTCTTCCGACCCCTAATTATATTATCCGTGCAACTTCCGTGCATCCTGGTGGCACCGCTTCAAGCAGCCCTGCGCCCGGACCTTGTACAAGACGTTGCTCTGGGGCTCGACGCACCCGCAAGTCACTCCGCAGACCATCCGCAGCAGCTGTGAGTTGGTTCCCTGGCAGTGATCTTCCATGTCGCTGCAAGTGCTGCTTTCGGGCATGCCTAAGACAGCAGATGCCGACCACCAATATGGGCCATAGCGGCTCGGGATGGGGTCGCCCTGACCTTGGAGAAACCAAGCGTCGAAGTCTCCACACATGAGGTGAGTTGTTGTGGTCGTCGCCATCGTCTCTACAAGCCCTCTTTCAAAGTCACGTGAGGAACCATGGAACGAGATGTGCGTGGGATCATGAGAGGTGAAGGCATACTCGCGCACTGCCAAGGGGACGTGGTCCGTCGTAATGTTGTGGAAGTCGACTGTATGTCGTCCCACGGCCATGCCATGATGTTCATTTACACCAACCACGAAGTTCTGCTTGCCGCCGCAGTACTCCCACTTCAGGCGTAGCATCACGTCCTCAAGCGGAGCAACCAGCTGAGACCAAGACCACAACATCATCCCCACGATGAAGGTCGCCACGGCAAGGGACTCCACCTGGCTAAGCCACACCGTGTTGCGCACCTGCATGGGCTTCAGCTTCTTGATGGAGGCCTGGATTTTCCGGGGCATGACGGCCACGTAGAAGATGCCGTCCACCCGCGCGAGGCCGAAGAGGGGCAGGGCCCGAAGCACCAAGAGCTGGATGGAGGTGGTGTTTGCAATCCACTGGATTCCGGCGAGCAGCAAGATGAGCAAGAAGATCACCCTGAAGAGCCGCCCCAAGTAGAAGAGCGCGAAGCGCATCCGGGAGCCACCCAACTCCACACGCCACAAGCCTTCCAAGGACAGGGCCACTCCGCGAAACTCTGTGCAGACGCAGAGGCAGTGATACAGGATGCACAGCCTGAGCCGGAGTCCGATGAAAATTCAGTTCGTGTCTGTAGGTTCTGTAGGGTTACAAAGGGGTTCGGGGCCACAAAGAAGCAAAAACATGTCCTTCCATATCAGCCCAGCAGCATGCATAGCACGGTCCCAGCAGACAAGCCTTCAGGATTGAATTGGGCGACTTCTAGCCCCAAGTACGCATTAATCCTTGGACTGAGGTGTGACAGGGTAGCAAAACAGGGCTCCTCTTAGAAATCGTAGAAATAATCATTTTAGGATCCCACGAAAATCCCCAGAAACCATCCAAACCAAAAAGTGGAATGGATCCCTAACATGGACCCAGCATCTGGGAAACAACAGACTGCTGCTGTGAGGACTTGATCAGGGAGCCATCCCCATTGCACACACGGGCAACCAGGCTGGTGCCCTCGAAATCCAGATTCCTGTAGTCATGCGCAGCGCCCTCTCTCCACCTGCTGGCAGTCTCCAGCATCCTGTCATCAGGAGGTCTTCCCAAGAAGTCGTCTGTCAGCAAGACGAAGCAGAAGGCAAGCTGCAAGAGTTGACTTGCGATCAGCACACAGCAGGCGAGCACGATGTCCATCCACCCGGCCCCGGTACGGCCTAAAACAAGGACCAGGTTCCAAGGTGAGTCTGTGAATGCCACTGGTTGCAGATCATCCTCTTTCTTCTCCTGGGCCTCCTTCTTGCTCTCCAAACCCTGCGGGGAAGCCGATACTGTGGTCGGCTTTGGCAGAACTGCCGCATCCTTCTTCGTGGAGGCCGCCTCCGAACCGGGGAAATCCACTGATAGGCGTTGCCAGCGGTGCAGCTCAGACTCCAAGCCGTTGATTCTCGCCGTGCACTCCGTGAGGATTCTCTCCATCTCCGAACGGAACTCCTCACGAAGCCTCCCTTCCACTTCTCGGATACCTGCCTCCCAGTCCCATGCATCGGCTTCAAAGATAGGAGCTGCCATGGCTCGAAAAATGGCTTCTGAAGGACGGACACGCCTCTAACATCTCATGACGACCCTGAGGCCTTCTGCCTGTCGCCTTGGAGTACCATCCTGGGACGTCTAACAGGGATGCACTGGTCACACGGACGAACGATGACACGGAGGGTTCTGTGAAGTGAGGGCCTCGTGAATAGTTTGTGAGAGCGCATGCAGCACGGAAGCTGAACGGCAACAGGACAGACACTCACGTGGAGGGTTCTGCGAACTTATGCTACTAACGTGTGCGCTGGCAGGTGCACCGCGTGCGGCGTAACGTGCGGTCGGCGGGCTAAACCCTCAACGCCAAAACCTTGGATCCCCCCCAACCCTGATCCCCTAAACCCTACGGTTTAGGATTTAGGGTTTAGGGTGAAAAACCTAAACCCTAGACCCCAAACCCCCAACGTGTACCAGCTGGGCGCGCCTGGGCATTCTCACAGCTCCAAGTCTCCGGCGCTGGGCTTTTTGACCTCCTGCTGCTTGGAGCAAGATTGGGCTTCCGGGCTTTTTCACTTCTTGGTCTGGGGTTCATGGAAATTGGATGGAGTTTTGTTGGGTTTTGTCGGGCTTTGGGTGGTTTGACGGGTTGGGCGGGTTGCTTCTTGTTTATTTGCTCTGTGGTCTTGAGGCTTAAAGGGGCCTCTTTTGGGGTCTCGGTGGTAGGGATTTATGGTCACACCCCCCCCCCCCATGATCCATGTGTATCCTTTTCTTGCTTGTCCTTCTGCACCTGTGCTTATTTGCACATATGGTTGAAGTGAAAAAACCGGTATTTACGATACTTTCGTGTCTTGCCATGTCTGAAGCTACAACTTGCTATTGATTATCTACACTTTTAAACAACAGAAATCTACAAACAGAATCCGTTTCTGGATTTGGTTTTGTGTGGTTTGCTAATCTCTGTTATTCACTCTATAGTAGCTTCCAATATACACCTTCTTGAACTTCAACAATATTCATTGATTAGATAAATATTGCCTTATAAACCATTGTATAATGCATGAACATAAAAGAAGAGATGAAGGGGTTTCAAATAAAGCACCTAACACAAGAAGCAGACTACATAATGAAGTTAGAGACGAATTCGCAAAGACAGAGACATTTTTAACGGACACGCAAGGACTTAAATTAGCGTATGAGAATCCTGACGGGATATATCAAAAATGGTTCTATTTTATACATTGCTGGGACTAAAAGCTGTAGAGATGTTTATGGTGATTGAAACCTTCCTTTATATAAGACGCAACTGACTCAGTGTTATAAAGACGTAGATAAGTTCATTCAAGATGGTTTTATTGAAATAGACGGTTAAAGAAAAGAAGAAACTGGAATTTCTGGTATTGTAAGTCACAGTTTAGGTTCAGCATCGGGACAACAAATAAACAATGATTATGGGAATGTATTCAGAAGTCGTAGCTATGGTTCTCCTTATGTATCAGGACAACGACCAGAAGACACTGGGACAAAACATATGAATACGGAAAGTAGAAGACCCCGTTAGTATGTTTGAAAAAGGAAGTATAACATCAAAGAAATCAACATTAGACCCTCTACAAAAACATCCTTATGAAGATATAGGCAATATTCAAAACAAAGCAGGACATCTACCTATAACCGAAGAAGAGTTTTTAACAACAGTTTGATGCCATAATCATTTCATAAGAAAGCAACAACATACGAACAAATAGAGACATCGAAGATAGAGAAGCAATTTAAACAACATGCTTACGAAGAGATAAGAAAGTTAGTTGAGAATAATTAATTAGATGAAGCAGTTAAGCAGGTGAAAGGTAGGAAGAAGAATAATAGTAAGACACTTCATATAGTTTTGAATTACTTGGTTGAATACAAGTTGAAGGTATGTATATGTAATCAAATTATCTATGTTTTTTATATATCATGGAAACTTTTGGTCCCGCAGATATCCTCATTGATAGTTTAAGTTTTCTTTGACACAAAGGTATTTCTTATGTTAATTGTCAAGGGTTTAAGACCAAAACGATTGTTGGATTTAAACCATTGCGTGGCCTCTTCTCACAAGTTTGATATTTGCCGTCAAAAAATATGGGAAACTTACCAATTGAAATAGAATTGGTAACTAATGCTACTAATTGTATCAATTACCACAGTCAGAATATCAAGAGATTTCGGGAAAACTCGAGCCGGCTCGAATTTTCCGAAAAATCTCCAGGCACCAGGTCACCACAACTCGAGCAGGCTCGAATTTTCCAAAAAGAACCTACATTCTGTCATCTATGAGACCTTGGGGTCACACAGCCATGGTTTCAGCATATTTTTTAGAAAATTCGAGCCGGCTCAAATTTTCCGAAAATTCTTGAAGCTCCAGGTCTCGAAAACTCGAGCAGGCTCGAATTTTCCAAAAAAAACCCTAAATTATATCATCTATGAGGCCTTGGGGTCACACAGCTATGGTTTCAGCATTTTGTTAGAAAACTCGAGCCGGCTCGAATTTTCCGAAAATTCTTGAAGCTCCAGGTCTCGAAAACTCGAGCAGGCTCGAATTTTCCAAAAAAAAACCAAACTTTCAGGATCTACCGGGCTGCTGGAGCCATAGATCCTGAAATTTAGGTTTTTTTTGGAAAATTCGAGCCTGGTCGTGTTTCGGCAATCTACTGTGTCAGTTTTTTTGGGGAAATTCGAGCCGGCTCGAATTTTCCTAAAATTCTTGAAGCTTTAGGTCCCAGAAACTCCACAGGCTCGAATTTTCCAAAAAAAACCGAACTTTCAGGATCTACCGGGCTGCTGGAGCCATAGATCCTGAAATTTAGGTTTTTTTTGGAAAATTCGAGCCTGGTCGTGTTTCGGCAATCTACTGTGTCAGTTTTTTTTGGAAAATTCGAGCCGGCTCGAGTTTTCTAAAAAAGCATGATTTTTTCGGGTATTTTTCTACTTTGTTGATGTAAATGACCTGCCTGACTTGAAATGATATAGGTTTTTATCGGCCCCGTCGGTGTTTTTGTCGCTAGCTCATAGCCCCCTCTCCTCCCAAGATCCATCTGTTTCGAAGCAGAAACGTGGATCATGGGGGCGGGCGTGAGCGGATTTATATAGGGTTGAGGGTTTAGGGTCTCCGAAGCCTTAGGGCTTTTGGGGCCTCGAAATGGCTAGGTCTGAGGACTCGAAGGATTATTGCGGCCCATCGAAATTGCAAGGTTTTAAATCTGAGTGATCACATACAATTTCTTTTCATCCTGTCCTTCTTGAGGGTTTAGGGTTCAGGGTCTAGGGTTCAGGATTTGGGGCTCAGGGTTTGCAGCTTAGGATTTACAGGGCCTCGGGGCTTAGGGTCTGGGCTAGAGCCTGAACCGCGCAAGCCCCACAATGACTCACAAAGCCCTAGACACCCCTGCATCAGCCCCTCTAAAACAACCAAACAGAGCCAGACGAAAAAAAGGCCTGCAACCCCTGCACGGCCCAATAAACCGCCCTGCAACCCCTTACAACCCCTATCACCTAACAACCCCCATCACGCCCCCTGAACCATGCCTCGAGCCCTGTAGCCTCGGCCTCAGCAACGAAGCCACGGCCACCGCGCAGGTTGCCCTGGAAACCCTAAACCCTAAACCCTAAACCCTAAACCCTGATGAATGATGGGCGATTGGGGTTTAGGGATGCTCGAAGGCTCAGTGGTTCGGATCGGTTTTGGGGGGACTCTCAGGTGCTCCATGGGCCGGTTCCACCACGGGGGTTTAGGGTGGGAGAGCAACCGCAAGAACACTTCTGAGTTTTTGGGGTTTGGGGCTTAGGGATGTTTCGGGTTCAGGGAAAAGCCTTGAAAGCTTAAAAAGAGAACGGACCATACTCATTGGGCATCCCTTTAAATTCGTGCCTGGGCGAAGGATTTGAAGCCCTTCCAGCCGGAGAAGCGGAAAAGCGGCACGATCTCCTGCGCGCTTGGGGGCTGGGGGGGCTTTGTGGGTGGGGGCTTATGGGCCATTTTGGGGTAGCTGCGCCAGGATGTTTGGGTTGTGGGGGTGTAGGGAGTTGTAGGGGCTCCTCCAGGGTCTTGCCCTTGGTCTCGGGCACGCAGGTGAGCACGAAGGGGATCACGGCGAGGCACACGCACCCGAAGAAGATCAGCGTTCCGCCCGGGCCAAGCGGCGACGCGATCATCTGCGGCGTCAGGAAGGCACTCATGACGTTGGCAGGACCCCAGTTCATGGCCGTGCAGAGTCCCACGGCCTTTCCGCGCACCCGCAGCGGCATGATCTCAGAGATGTACAGCCAGGCCCCGAAGCCCCAGGAGATTCCGAAGGAGAACATGTACGCCACGATCATGGACACGATCGTGTAGCCTGCAGCTGTGCCGATCTGCCCATCTGGATCCTGTGCAAGCACTGCCACTCCACCCCCCACGAGCATCGTCACGCACATGGCCACCATGCCATAGAGCAGGAGTGGCCGCCGGCCCACGCGGTCCACCAAGAGACAGCTCCCTACAGCATTTCCGATGGTGAAGGCCACAAAGGGGATGATAGAGAAGGTGATGCCGTGAAGGCCCAGGGCCTGGAAGAGCGTGCCGCTGAAGCTCACAATTGCGTTGATCCCAGTCATGATCTGGAAGAACTGGACGGCGCAGCCAATGATCACCACATTCCGGAAGAAGGGAACGGTGAAGACCTCGCTCCACGTGGCCTCTCCAGCAGCTCTCTCGGTGTCAATCTCTGCCCGCACCTCCTTCAACTCGTGAGCGGCTGCATCCTGGTCACCCGCACGGAGCCGCGTCAGCACCCGCAGAGCTGCGTCCGAGCGCCCGGCGCTCTCCAAGAACCGCGGGGTCTCACAAACAAAGTACAAGCCGAAGACCACCAGCAAGCCCATAGCCTATAGGGATTTGCGGGAGTAGTTAGAGTGATTCTTGCAATTCTTGATGTCCACATTTTTTAAACTTGTGCTGGTCATCTGTAGCCTCTTTTCTAGGTGCGGCCCAGGAGCTACTTGAAGACCAAGCGACAACCGCCAGCCCCACGTGGCATCATGCACCGCATAGTTCAGCACTGCAGCAGCCACGATGGCCAGGCACACGTTGTTCTGGTAGATGCCTACGAGCATGCCACGGATCTTCTCCGGCGCGACTTCGGAGATGAAGGCTGGCCCGGCCGAGGACGTTATGCCCACACCGACTCCAGCAACGACCCTGCCGATGATGAGCATGATCGTGTTCTGCGCTGATGTCTGCACGCCTCCACCTGGGGCTCAAACGCCCAATCTTATAAGCCCGAATCCAAATCCCCACACCCTCCCTCCCTCCCTCCCTCCCCTCCCCTCCCCTCCCCTCCTCCCTCCCCTCAACTCCTCCTTCCACCCCCCTTCCCCCCCCCTCCCTCCCTCCCCCCACCCTCCCCCCCTCCCTCCCTCCCTCCCTCCTCCCCCCCCCCTAACTTGCCCCCAACCTACCCAACCCACCCAGCCCACCCCCACCTACCGCAAACAGCAAGGAGCCGATGAACAATGCCGGCCGCCGGCCATGCCTTACGGGTGCTTAAGAAAGGGTGTGCAGGGTTTAGGGGTTGGGGTTGAGTGTTGGGGAGTACTAAAAAATATGGGAAAAACAAGGAATAGGCACAATGCTTCCTAGAGGGATCCCCTCCACCCTGAAGCACTAGAAGCCCCGCAAAGGCGCTTGTCCACCAGAAGGTGCCCTGCAAGGACGGCGGCGATGGCCGCGCCGATGTTGAAGCCGTTCACCGTGAAGCCCTCCTGGGACCCAGTGCAGATGATGGGGGAGGGGGGCCGAAGGGGGCGCGGCTGTTTCGTCTTCATCTACACGGAGGGGTTTAGGGTTTGGGGTTTCGGGTTTGGGGTTTAGGGTTTGGGGGGGTTTGGGGTTTAGGGTTTAGGGTTTAGGGTTTAGGGTTTAGGGTTTAGGGAGAGGGCAGAACCCCACCCGAAACCCAAAAGCGGTCCCAGGTCTCAAGCAAGGTTCCCAGAAGGCCACCGTGGGGTTGTCCTCCTCTGGCCAGCCCATCATGCCGCGAAAGCTGGGCATGGTGAAGACGTCGTTCACCACCCCGTTGTCGTAGCCGTGGAAGAAGCCCGTGGACGCCACGAAGGCACCTGAGCCGCAGAGGTACCTAGCAAAAAGAAAGAATCCTGAGCCCCTATCTCCTCAAAACATCTCAAAACCTCTCGTTTCTGTTTACCCTCCACCCGGACAACATCGGACAACCTGAAACGAGCTATGAGACCCAGGCACATATCAGAGCGGCATAGGCGTTCTTCCAGCCATCGGCCTTCGGCACAGGCTTCTCTGAAAGGGCAGCCTGTGCCTCGACTGCCGACGTCACGCCCCGAATCGCAACCGGCTCTGCCATGCCCGAGAACTGGAGCTCGGATGACAGCAATCCTGCAACTACCTGCTGACCCTTCGCGACCTTGATCCAAACACGCTCCTGCGGCCCTGGCTCCAGGCTTAAGGTTCAGGGCCTTAGGCAAAGCGTTTTGGCTCCTTAAAACCTCAAAAGCCCTCGCGAGCCCCCTGGGAACCCTCTAAAGGGCAAGGCCTGGGCGCCTCCCCCCATCTTGACGGTGCTTGGGTAACGGGCCCTTGGCCGGACCTACATCAGAAACCGTGTTTTGCCCCGCCTCTTTCAAAAGGGACCCTAAGCCCAAAAGCCACGAAGCTCTCAACCTTAAGCCCCTATCAGCCCCTCAACTCTCGACCCCCAGCCAGGCAAAAAACGTCCATACGCAAAAGACATCTTGAAGCTTCTTTCTGGAGTCGTGTCTCTCGCGTCTAATATCTCAAACGTCTCTCTCTCTCCGAGCTGGGCTGGATTCAGGGAGCCCAGAGAGTTTTCGTAGAAAAACATGCACTGTACACAAGACATCCCCTGCCCAACGCCTCTTGCAAATGGCCCGCCCCCATGGCGGGCTAAGGCAATAAAGTCTTGGGGTGTGTCGGGCATAGGGTCCAAACGACCTCGCCCACAAATTGAATTTTAAATGGGCATCCGCCAAGGGCCCTCGTGTGAGGCCCTCGCCCAGTGGGGTTCAGAGCTTTTGTAGCTCGAGGAATGTCGGGGCCCCTAAGCCCCGAATCCCATGAACCCTTCTGAAAGGCTGTTTGGCTCGAAGGGTCTCAGCAGGATTTCTGGTCCGGGCCACGAAGCCTCGACCTGGTCGAGGGGTTCAGGCTTTGGGTTTTGGGTTTGGGGTTTCAGGATTTTGGGGCTTTTAGGGTTTCGATCACCCTCGGCAAAAAACCTCCAAGTGACAGAGGAGAGAGAGAGAGAGAGAGAGAGAGAGAGAGAGCAGCGCAAGCAAGCAAGCAAGCAAGCAAGCAAGCAAGGCTGGTGACGAACGAACTTCCGAATGCACCCACGCCTCATACGATTCTGAGCTCAAGAGATCCTCCCGCGTACGGGGTCCGATTCCCGACCCTCACACAGAGTTTCATGGGGCATATCCCTCTGAATGAATAGGCGTGACACATGAGTCCGGAGGAAGATGGAGCTTCAATCGCAAAACCCGACAGAGGGCGGGGGGGTCTGCAAACCTCGGCTGTTGGGGGGGCTCATGGTGCTGGGCATAAGAACATCCCAAGCCACTTAGATCCCCGCAGCTCGCAAAGAAAGTTTGGGCATGTCGCCTCTCTCTGAAGCACCCCCTGAAGTGTGTAGCAAGGCGCGCCTGGCATTTTCACACCTCCAGGACTTCGCTGCTGGGCTTCTTGTCCTCCTCCTGCTTGCGAGTCGCAGCTTTCGGGTCGCAGCTTTGGGGCTTCACAGTCCACACCCTGCAAGCCCTCCCAAGGGCCCTGTGCACCCTGCAACGCCTGTATGACCGCGGAAAGCCCTTTAGGAAACCCTATTCAGCCCTGCAAGCTCACCTAGAGAGCTTTCAAACACCCCATACAACACCCCATAAACCCTGGTGAACCTGCCTTGAACCCTGCGGTCTCGGCAACGGCAACCAAGCCATGGCCGCCGCGCAGGTTGCCCTCGAGCTTAGCGGGGATTAGTGCATTTAAGATGCTCAAGGCGTGAAGGTTTGGGGCTTGGGATTTAGGGGTGTAGAAGTGGGGTTTCTTCCTGAGGGTTTTCAGGTTTGGGGTTGGTGTGGGGCTTCGGATTTATGGTTTAGGGTCGTCGGGGCTCTTTGGGGGAACTCCTTGCCCCTCAACGAGGTGCCCAAGTGAAAGAGCCGCAATTCCCTCCCCCCTCCCCAACTCTCCTGAAACCTCGCAGTCCAGGGTTTCGGGTAGTCAGTGGTTGGGGGCTTCGGACATCATAAACGTGAATAGCCGAGTTCCCCAAAACAGGTGCCACCCCTTTGGCTTCGTGCCTGGGCGAAGGATTTGAAGTCCTTCCAGCCGGAGAAGCGGAAGAGTGGCACGATCTCCTGCGCACTTGGGGGGCTGCCGACGTTGTGGGTGGGGGCTTATGGGCCATTTTCGGAGTAGCTGCGCCAGGATGTTTGGGTTGTGGGGGCGCAGGGAGCTAGCTCCTCCAGGGTCTTGCCCTTGGTCTCGGGCACGCAGGTGAGCACGAAGGGGATCACGGCGAGGCACACGCACCCGAAGAAGATCAGCGTCCCGCCCGGGCCAAGCGGCGACGCGATCATCTGCGGCGTCAGGAAGGCACTCATGACGTTGGCAGGACCCCAGTTCATGGCCGTGCAGAGTCCCACGGCCTTTCCGCGCACCCGCAGCGGCATGATCTCGGAGATGTACAGCCAGGCCCCGAAGCCCCAGGAGATTCCGAAGGAGAACATGTACGCCACGATCATGGACACGATCGTGTAGCCTGCAGCTGTGCCGATCTGCCCATCTGGATCCTGCGCAAGCACTGCCACTCCACCCCCCACGAGCATCGTCACGCACATGGCCACCATGCCATAGAGCAGGAGTGGCCGCCGGCCCACGCGGTCCACCAAGAGACAGCTCCCTACAGCGTTTCCGATGGTGAAGGCCACAAAGGGGATGATAGAGAAGGTGATGCCGTGAAGGCCCAGGGCCTGGAAGAGCGTGCCGCTGAAGCTCACAATCGCGTTGATCCCAGTCATGATCTGGAAGAACTGGACGGCGCAGCCAATGATCACCACATTCCGGAAGAAGGGAACGGTGAAGACCTCGCTCCACGTGGCGTCCCCAGCAGCTTTCTCGGTGTCGATCTCTGCCCGCACCTCCTTCAACTCGTGAGCGGCTGCATCCTTGTCACCCGCACGGAGCCGCGTCAGCACCCGCAGGGCTGCGTCCGAGCGCCCGGCGCTCTCCAAGAACCGCGGGGTCTCACAAACAAAGTACAAGCCGAGGACCACCAGCAAGCCCATCGCCTACAGGGATTGGCGGGAGCAACTAGAGTGATTCTTGCAATTCTTGACGTGCACATACTTGTGCTGGTCATTTGCAGCTTCTTCCTTTCTAGGTGCAGCACAAATATAAAACTTGTGCTGGTCATCTGTAGCTTCTTTTCTAGGGATTCTAGGTGCGGCCCAGGAGCTACTTGAAGACCAAGTGACAAGCGCCAGCCCCACGTGGCATCATGCACCGCATAGTTCAGCACTGCAGCAGCCACGATGGCCAGGCACACGTTGTTCTGGTAGATGCCTACGAGCATGCCACGGATCTTCTCCGGCGCGACTTCGGAGATGAAGGCTGGCCCGGCCGAGGACGTTATGCCCACGCCGACTCCAGCAATGACCCTGCCGATGATGAGCATGATCGTGTTCTGCGCTGCTGTCTGCACGCCTCCACCTGGGGCCCCAAGCGCCGAACCTTCTAAACCCACACCCCCCATCCCCCCGCCCCCACCCAACCTACCCCAACCCTCCCCACCCCCACCCCCACCCACCCCCACCCACCCCCAACCTGCCCAACCCTCCCAACCCTCCCAACCCCCACCTACGGCAAACAGCAAGGAGCCGATGAACAATGCCGGCCGCCGGCCGTGCCTTACGGGCGCTTCAGAAACGCTGTGCCGGGTTTTGGGTCTGGGGTTCAGTGTTGGGTACTGTATGGGGAATAACACAAGGCTTCTTAGACCCACAAATACCCGGCAAGGCGCTTGTCCACCAGGTGGTGACCTGCCAGGACGGCGGCGACGGCCGCGCCGATGTTGAAGCCGTTCACCGTGAAGCCCTCCTAGGTCCCGGTGCAGAGTGGGGGGCTGGGCAAAACTGCACCTGAAACCCAAAAACGGTCCCAGGTCCCAAGCAAGGTTCCCAGAAGGCCACCATCGCGTTTTCCTCCTCCGGCCAGCCCATCATGCCGCGAAAGCTGGGCATGGTGAAGACATCGTTCACCACCCCGTTGTCGTAGCCGTGGAAGAAGCCCGTGGACGCAACGAACGCACCTGAGCCGCAGAGCACCTAGCAAAACAAAGAACCCTCAGCCTCAATCTCCTCCTGCGCTCGGGGCAACCTGGAACGAGGTAAGGAGGTTTCAACGACAAGCATGCCAAGTGGGAGACCCGGGCACAGATGATCGCGGCATAGGCGTTCTTCCAACAATCGGCCTTCGGCGCTTGCACCTCGACTGCGTCCGCCGACGCCACGCCCTGAATCGCAACCGGCTCTGCCATGCCCGAGAATCGACAATCGGGAAGTTCGGCTGACAACCCTGCTTCCTGCAGACCTTGATCCAAACACGCTGCTGCGGCCTTGGCTGAGGCTGCTTAGGCTGCTGAGGCTGCTTAGGCTGCTTGGGGCTTAGGCCGCTTTAGCTGCTTAAGCTGTGTGGGGGCTTTGGGGGTTCAGGGTTTAGGCAAAGCGTTGTGGCTCCTTGCTTAAGAGTGGCGTTGCAGAGGACCTGAACCATAACACCCATAGATAAAACTGAATATAGATACGAATATTGTTTCCAAGAACTTAAGTGTTAAGGGCCTTCAAGGTCGATGCTTTCCGAAATACCAGCATACCGTTCGATTTTCAATTCGTCCGTCTCAAGCTGCGACAGGACCAGATACGGCTCAAACACGGCCGTGTTCAAACTCTCTCCGCAGTCTGAGGCTGCTTTCAGGTGAAGCAGCGCTCGACAGCAGAAGGCACCAAGCGCGCCGATGAGCTCGTGACTAGACTTTCATGTTTGCTGCCAGATGAGCTTTGATTCTCAGGATTGTATGGGGGGAATACAGTACAGTACTGCTGTGGGGATTCTCATATCACTGCTTGAGCTACGAAAAAAATCACGGGCTCATGTGAAATCTCATGATCAAGCAAAATGCCCCTGCAGGCGAACAAAACTACAAACAATTTCATTGCCACCGCTGATCACACCAACACTTGAACGGCTCGCTTCTTGAATTGCACTGGCTTTCCAAAGGGGTCCGCGGTGGTCTCACCAACGCAGCCACGGCTCTTGTCAGCTCCCTGCCAGCATCCGTGGGAGCCGAAAGGCAATGGGAACGGCGACCGCGCCTCCGCCAAAGGGGAGAGATCCTGGGCTCTTGTTAAAGGATTTTTGATTTCAGTTGCCATAATACAGAAGCCATGTTATTTACTTTAGATCCCTATTATGTGAAGTGAAATTAAATACCTTAACAAGAACCCAGGATCTCGACCGTCCATGGCCATCAGGTAAGAGGTGCCGGAATCTCCTTCAAGGATGACAAGACAACACAGAATGCAATAATGATTTTCGTAAACAGGATGGTCGTTGCCACAGTTGATACGGCTACCGCGCCGATTTACATTCCAGCTGCAGCTACTATCAAGCAATCGCCATCACGCTGATGATTCTGTTTGCCCTGATTCTCCTCCGAGCATGGTAACCAGGATCACGACGTCGTCTTCGTACTCGGCACCTGGCCTTGGCACAGCGATGAGCTCCCCAGGGTAGTGATCCTCCATGTGCCATGTTGCCACTATTTGCTTGGACTGCACATCGAACTTCACGATGTTGTCCCACCACAAGTGCTTCCCACTCCAGCTAAGACCCCAGGTGTACTGATAGTCTTGGCCATGGAGGTAGGGATGGATTGTAGTGAGATCCATGCTGGGTCCTAGGATCTCATAAGGGAAGTGCGTACCTGCCTCTGCTGCGGTGTCCACCACAATTCGGATGGTTGGCTTCTCCTCGAACTCCCATGGGTAGTCATAGCGCAGCTTCTCGTTGGCGAAGGCTGTTTCAATGTGCCGGTAGTCGACGGTGTTGATATCCAAGACCACCTTGCTGCCGTCCTCGTAGCAGTTCACCAGGTGGTAGAACCAGAATGCATCCGACGTGAAAGTCTTGATGAACTTTCCGGAAGCTTTCTCGTACACCCATAACCTAGGTTTCCCAGTATCCCCCTAACAGTAACAGCAACATTTGTCCTATTGTTCTGAGATTCTGAAGCAAAAAGGCACGCTGAAACAAAAAAGGCCAAAAGAGTACGACTAGGGGGAATGAGCTACATGTTTTTCTTCTCAGGGTGCCACTCCATTGCCTTCATGATGTTGGTGTATCGGAGGATCCCCTCGATGTTGTATTGAAACGCGGAGCCAACAAACACCAAGTAGTTCTTCGTGTTCGCGAAGGTGTGCATGTAGCTGATGTGGGTAGCCCCTGGAACCTTCACAGTGCCCATCCACTCGCGCACCAAGCTGCTACCAGCCCCCCCATCAGGCTGCGTCATGTCCACACGCCAAACTGCCAGGTCGTTCTCAGGACCGTCAATGAGCAGGTAGTTGTAGCCGTAGACGTACTTGTCGCCGAGCGTGTTGCCTATGTGGGCGCAGGTCACGACGTCTATACCCAGGAGGGGCAGCTTGGAGATTGCTGGCTTGTTCTTCTCTGTGAGCTTCAGGCCACTGACCTGGGTTCTGGTTCCGGTACCTGATTTACCTTACCATAGTAAGGTTAGGGTGCCTGATTTACCTTACCACAGGAAGGAAACCATGGTACTATAGATCCCCATTATGGCAACTTAGAATAAGTGTCTCAACAAGAGCCCAGTAACATAATCCAGATTCTCGTACGCCTCGTTAAAGCCCTTCATGTCAGAGACCCCAAACATGCGACCTGATGTGGTGAGCTGCAGAATCGCAACGTTCAGGTTGTCGTTGGTCTTGAACGGGTGAGTCAGGGTGTCGATGGTCTCTGCTGCCGTGAAAGGAGGCTCAGTGCCATTGAACGTACGATAAGTTGGCTTCGACCTCTGGGCATCTTGCCAGTACTTTGTCTTTTGAATCTTGCTCCACAGGCGCACGGTGCCGTTGTTGATTTCCATCTTCGAATAGTAGGACATGACATCAGCAAGGTGATTAATGGAGAAGCAGTCCTCGTCGGCGGGACAGGTTTCGAACAAACCAAAGCCATTATTGTACTTGGTTCCCTGCAGCCAGTCGGGAAAAGCACCTGATGTGACCTGCATCTCTACACCCTCCACATCCTCCTTCACGCTCTCGAAGAGCAGGTGCTGGGAGTTAGGAAAAGTCGAGGGAAGGGGCGTCACGTGACCAGAAACAGATGTGAAGAAGGCCGCTACGCTCGCAGAACGCATGGCGGAGGCGGCAGGAATCGAGGGAAATGCTTCTGCCGTAATGCAGTACAGACAGAGTAAAAGGTTTGGAATGTGGGATATACGCGTGGCTGTGCCCAGCATGACCTTGTAAGTTGTATGTGCTGCAGATGCGAAGCAATCAAGCCTGGCTTATCCTTTGCCAACACCTACTCCCCGTCCGGTCATAGACCGCCCTCTCCCACCCCAAACCCTAGATGCTAAACTTAAAAACCCTACACCAAAAGACGCCCCTAAGGCCCACCACTCCAAGAGCGTGAAAGCTTGAAGAACTGAAAGCCCAGCAACCACGAAACTGCAACGTAGCCCTACGGTGCATGCCCCCATATTCTAGATGGGTCAAGTGTTGACTCTTTGGGTACATGGACTGAGGCCGAATACCCCCGCGCAGCACCCCCGTATGGAAGTGTCAGAAAACAATGTGTCAAAATAGCTGATCCTAGTATACACCCTAAAACGTTGGACCCTACTCGAAGGCCATATAAGACCAACTCACTATCAGAATCGAAACCTACTTAAAGCCCCTCTGAACCCTGTTCAACGCATCTTTTTGAAAGCTTGTGAGACCAGTGAAGCAGAAAAATTCCCTCACCCGTGCCTCCCCTCCTGCTGCTGCTGCTGCTGCTGCTGCTGCTGCTGCTGCTGCTGCTGCTGCTGCTGCTGCTGCTGCTGCTGCTGCTGCTGCTGCTGCTGCGGCTGCTTAGGCTCGGGCTGCTTAAGCTGTCTGAGGGCTTTGGAGGAAAACCCGAAGCCCTCCTGCAGCCTCGCGCCCCTTGAGAAAACCCTGGAAAGTGGAACCGGCGAGGGCGAGCGCGCGGACCGGGCAAGGCCAGCGGGGCGCCTTCCCCCATCTTCGCCTTGCCTCTCGAAGGTTTTGTTCTTGGGAAGGGGGCCCTTGGCCTGACCTAAACCAGACATCACGCTTTCCCGCCTCAAGTATCAACCCTACAAGCCCAAAGAGCCACCAAAGCTCTCCACCGCGAGCCCATGACAGACCCTCAACTCTCGACTCCCGGCCAGGCAAAAAAAACACGTCCATATAAACCAGACCTCTTGAAGCGCCTTTCTCGAGTCGTGTCTCTAGCGTCTCTAAAATATCTCTCTCCGGGCTGGGCTTGATTCAGGGAGCCCAGAGAGTTTCGAAGAAAAACATGCACTGTACACAAGACATCCTCCGGCCTACGCCTCTTGCAAATGGCCCAGCCCCATGGCGGAGCTGAGGCGTTAAAGTCTGGGAGTGTGTCGGGTGCAGGGTCCAAACGACCTCGCCCACAAATTAAAACGGAGCTTTTGTAGCTCGAGGAATGTCAGGGCCCCTAAGCCCTGGATCCCGTGAACCCTTCTGAAAGGCTGTTTGGCTCACAGGGTCTCTGCAGGATTTCTGGTCCGGGCCACGAAGCCTCGGCCGGGGGCTTTGTCGGGGGGTTTCGAGTTTAGAGGGTGGTCAGGGATTCTCGGACTGAGCGGTTGGGATTCAGGGCTTCTATATACAAGGTTTGCAGGAGTGTTGTGCTTCTGGGGGCGGGGGGGCGGGGGGGTGAGGGGCGCTTGCAGAGCTTGTAGGGCTTGTCATGTAGGGTTTAGTGTGTTTGCAGAGAAAGACAGACAGAGAGAAAAGAGAGAGAGAGAGAGAGAAAAAAAAAAAATGAGAGAGAGACAGTAAGGCAGTATTTCAAGCTTTCGAGTGTAGCTCGGGGCGCGCGCCTGGCATTTTCACACCTCCAGGACTTCGCTGCTGGGCTTCTTGTCCTCCTCCTGCTTTCGGGCCGTAGCTTGGGGGGCTTCAGAGTCGTTAGCCTGTGGGTGTGGGGTTCGCGGCTAACCCCCTCTAAGAAAAAGCATCCAGCAACCCCTATAGCAAACCCTATGAAGCCCTCTAAGCTCACCTATAGAGCACAAAAAAAACACAGCACCCTTCTCAGACACCCCATAAAATCTGGTGAACCTGCCTTGAACCCCGCAGTCTCGGCAACAACCAAGCCATGGCCGCCACGCAGGTTGCCCTCGAGCTTAGGGATTATAGTGCTTAGGATCGTTTCAGATGTGCAAGGCTTGAAGGTTTCTAGAGCGTGGGATTTAGGGATGCAGGGTTTCGTGTTGAGGGCTTCAGGTTTGGGGTTCGTGTGGGGCTTCGGATTCATGGCTTATGGTTGTCGGATGTTGCCGGGGCTTTTGGGGGGAACTCCTAATGCCTCAAACCCAGAACCCCCCAGTTCGGTCCCTCAACAAGGTGCCCAAGTGAAAGAGCCGCAATTCACCCAACTCTCCTGAAACCTCGAAGTCCAGGGTTTAGGGTAGCTGGGGGCTTCGGAGATTTTTGAAATCATAAATGTGAACAGCATGATATGGCTTCAACTTGCCTAGACCTTTGCAAAGCCCGAACCCGCTAGCCCAAGCCCGCTCCCCAAAAACAGGTGCCACCCCTTTGGCTTCGTGCCTGGGCGAAGGATTTGAAGTCCTTCCAGCCGGAGAAGCGGAAGAGTGGCACGATCTCCTGCGCACTTGGGGGGCTGCCGACGTTGTGGGTGGGGGGCTTATGGGCCATTTTCGGGTAGCTGCGCCAGGATGTTTGGGTGGCGTAGGGAGTTGCAGGGGCTCCTCCAGGGTCTTGCCCTTGGTCTCGGGCACGCAGGTGAGCACGAAGGGGATCACGGCGAGGCACACGCACCCGAAGAAGATCAGCGTTCCGCCCGGGCCAAGCGGCGACGCGATCATCTGCGGCGTCAGGAAGGCACTCATGACGTTGGCAGGACCCCAGTTCATGGCCGTGCAGAGTCCCACGGCCTTTCCGCGCACCCGCAGCGGCATGATCTCGGAGATGTACAGCCAGGCCCCGAAGCCCCAGGAGATTCCGAAGGAGAACATGTACGCCACGATCATGGACACGATCGTGTAGCCTGCAGCTGTGCCGATCTGCCCATCTGGATCCTGTGCGAGCACTGCCACTCCACCCCCCACGAGCATCGTCACGCACATGGCCACCATGCCATAGAGCAGAAGTGGCCGCCGGCCCACGCGGTCCACCAAGAGACAGCTCCCTACAGCGTTTCCGATGGTGAAGGCCACAAAGGGGATGATAGAGAAGGTGATGCCGTGAAGGCCCAGGGCCTGGAAGAGCGTGCCGCTGAAGCTCACAATCGCGTTGATCCCAGTCATGATCTGGAAGAACTGGACGGCGCAGCCAATGATCACCACATTCCGGAAGAAGGGAACGGTGAAGACCTCGCTCCAAGTGGCGTCCCCAGCAGCTTTCTCGGTGTCAATCTCTGCCCGCACCTCCTTCAACTCGTGAGCGGCTGCATCCTGGTCACCCGCACGGAGCCGCGTCAGCACCCGCAGGGCTGCGTCCGAGCGCCCGGCGCTCTCCAAGAACCGCGGGGTCTCACAAACAAAGTACAAGCCGAGGACCACCAGCAAGCCCATCGCCTACAGTGATTGGCGGGAGCAATTGGAGTGATTCTTGCAATTCTAGACGTGCACATACTTGTGCTGGTCATTTGTAGCTTCTTCCTTTCTAGGTGCGGAACAAGTAAAACTTGTGCTGGTCATCTGTGGCTTCTTTTCTAGGGATTCTAGGTGCGGCCCAGGAGCTACTTGAAGACCAAGTGACAAGCGCCAGCCCCACGTGGCATCATGCACCGCATAGTTCAGCACTGCAGCAGCCACGATGCCCAGGCACACGTTGTTCTGGTAGATGCCTACGAGCATGCCACGGATCTTCTCCGGCGCGACTTCGGAGATGAAGGCTGGCCCGGCCGAGGACGTTATGCCCACGCCGACTCCAGCAATGACCCTGCCGATGATGAGCATGATCGTGTTCTGCGCTGCTGTCTGCACGCCTCCACCTGGGGCCCATCGCCACCAAACCTTCTAAACCCACCCCCCATCCCCCCACCCCCAACCTGCCCAACCCTCCAAACCCTCCCAACCCACCCCACCCCCACCTACGGCAAACAGCAAGGAGCCGATGAACAATGCCGGCCGCCGGCCGTGCCTTACGGGTGCTTCAGAAACGCTGTGCAGGGTTTTGGGTCTGGGGTTCAGTGTTGGGTACTGTATGGGGAATAACACAAGGCTTCTTAGAGGGATCCACTCCACCCTAAACCCATAAATACCCGGCAAGGCGCTTGTCCACCAGGTGGTGACCTGCCAGGACGGCGGCGATGGCCGCGCCGATGTTGAAGCCGTTCACCGTGAAGCCCTCCTGGGTCCCGGTGCAGAGTGGGGGGGCTGGGCAAAACTGCACCCGAAACCCGAAAACGGTCCCAGGTCTCAAGCAAGGTTCCCAGAAGGCCACCATCGGGTTGTCCTCCTCCGGCCAGCCCATCATGCTGCGAAAGCTGGGCATTGTGAAGACGTCGTTCACCACCCCGTTGTCGTAGCCGTGGAAGAAGCCTGTGGACGCAACGAACGCACCTGAGCCGCAGAGCACCTAGCAAAACGTAGAACCCTCAGCCTCAACCTCCTCCTGCGCTCGGGGCAACCTGGAACGAGGTAAGGAGGTTTCAACGACAAGCATGCCAAGTGGGAGACCCGGGCACAGATGATCGCGGCATAGGCGTTCTTCCAACAATCGGCCTTCGGCGCTTGCGCCTCGACTGCGTCCGCCGACGCCACGCCCTGAATCGCAACCGGCTCTGCCATGCCCGAGAATCGACAAACGGGAAGTTCGGCTGACAACCCTGCTTCCTGCAGACCTTGATCCAAACACGCTGCTGCGGCCTTGGCTGAGGCTGCTTAGGCTGCTCAGGCTGCTTAGGCTACTTAGGCTGCTTAGGGCTTAGGCCGCTTTAGCTGCTTAAGCTGTCTGGGGGCTTTGGAGGGTTCAGGGTTTAGGCAAAGCGTTTTGGACCCGAAGCTAAACCAGACATCGCGCTTTCCCGCCTTAAGTATCAACCCCATAAGGCAAGAAAGCCCGCAAAGCTCTCAACCGTAAGCCCATACCAGCCACGCAATTCTCGACTCCCAGCCAAGCAAAAAACGTCCATATGCCCCAGACATCTGGAAGCTTCTTTCTCGAGTCGTGTCTCTAGCGTCTCTCAAATATCTCATAATATCTCTCTCCGAGCTGGGCTGGATTCAGGGAGCCCAGAGAGTTTTCGTAGAAAAACATGCACTGTACACAAGACATCCTCCCGCCAACGCCTCTTGCAAATGGCCCAGCCCCGTGGCGGGCTGAGGCGTTACAGTCTGGGAGTGTGTCGGGCGCAGGGCCCAAACGACCTCGCCCACAAATTACAAGGGCATCTGCCCAGGGCCCTCGTGTGAGGCCCTCGCCCAGGTCCAGAGCTTCTGTAGCTCGAGGAATGTCAGGGCCCCTAAGCCCTGGATCCCGTGAACCCTTCTGAAAGGCTGTTTGGCTCGAAGGGTCTCAGCAGGATATCTGCTCCGGGCCACGAAGCCTCGACCGAGGGGCTTGTTCGGGGGTTAGGGGATTCAGGGCTTTTTATACAAGGTTTACCGGGGGGGGGAGGGGGGGGGGGGGGGGGGGGGGGGGGGGGGGGGGGGGGGGGCGCGCGCACTTGCAGAGCTTGTCGGGCTTGTCTTGTAGGATTTGTGTGTTTGCAGAGCTTGCGGACTTGCAGGATTTGGTTCAGCCCGCACATATTCCATAAAACCACAAAGCCAAGAGCAAGAGAGAGAAAGAGATTCAGAGAAAGGACGAGAGAGAGAGAGAGAGAGAGAGAGAGATTGAAAAAAGAGAGCGTGCGAGAGAGTAAGGCAGCATTGCAAACATTCGAGTGTAGCTGGGGGCGCGCGCCTGGCATTTTCACACCTCCAGGACTTCGCTGCTGGGCTTCTTGTCCTCCTCCTGCTTTCGGGCCGTAGCTTGGGGGGCTTCAAAGCATCCAGCAACCCCTTATAGCAAACCCAATTTAAGCCCTCTTAGCTCACCTATAGAGCACAAAAAAAAAAAACCTTCTCAAGCACCCCATGAACCCCTGGTGAACCTGCCTTGAACCCCGCAGTCTCGGCAACGGCAACCAAGCCATGGCCGCCACGCAGGTTGCCCTCCAGCTCAGGGATTGGAGTGCTTAGCTTCGTTTCAGATGTTCAAGGCTTGAAGGTTTCTAGAGCGTGGGATTTAGGGATGCAGGGTTTCGTGTTGAGGGCGGTTTGGGGATCGTCCGGGGCTTCAGATTCATGGCTTATGGTTGTCGGATGCTGCTGGGGCTTTTGGGGGGAACTCCTTCATGCGTCAAACCCAGAACCCCCCAGTTCGGTCCCTCAACGAGGTGCCCAAGTAAAAGAGCCGCAATTCACCCAACTCTCCTGAAACCTCGAAGTCAGGGTAGCTTGGGGCTTCGGAGATTTTTGAAATCATAGGGGGAACAGCATCATATGGCTTCAAACTTGCCGAAACCCTCGAAAAGCCCGAACCCGATAGCCCAAGCCCACTCCCCAAAACAGAGAAGCGGATGAGAAGCGGCCACCCCTTTGGCTTCGTGCCTGGGCGAAGGATTTGAAGTCCTTCCAGCCGGAGAAGCGGAAGAGTGGCACGATCTCCTGCGCACTTGGGGGGCTGCCGACGTTGTGGGTGCGGGCTTATGGTAGCTGCGCCAGGATGTTTGGGTTGAGGGCGCAGGGAGTTGCAGGGGCTCCTCCAGGGTCTTGCCCTTGGTCTCGGGCACGCAGGTGAGCACGAAGGGGATCACGGCGAGGCACACGCACCCGAAGAAGATCAGCGTCCCGCCCGGGCCAAGCGGCGATGCGATCATCTGCGGCGTCAGGAAGGCACTCATGACGTTGGCAGGACCCCAGTTCATGGCCGTGCAGAGTCCCACGGCCTTTCCGCGCACCCGCAGCGGCATGATCTCAGAGATGTACAGCCAGGCCCCGAAGCCCCAGGAGATTCCGAAGGAGAACATGTACGCCACGATCATGGACACGATCGTGTAGCCTGCAGCTGTGCCGATCTGCCCATCTGGATCCTGTGCGAGCACTGCCACTCCACCCCCCACGAGCATCGTCACGCACATGGCCACCATGCCATAGAGCAGGAGTGGCCGCCGGCCCACGCGGTCCACCAAGAGACAGCTCCCTACAGCGTTTCCGATGGTGAAGGCCACAAAGGGGATGATAGAGAAGGTGATGCCGTGAAGGCCCAGGGCCTGGAAGAGTGTGCCGCTGAAGCTCACAATCGCGTTGATCCCAGTCATGATCTGGAAGAACTGGACGGCGCAGCCAATGATCACCACATTCCGGAAGAAGGGAACGGTGAAGACCTCGCTCCAAGTGGCGTCCCCAGCAGCTTTCTCGGTGTCAATCTCTGCCCGCACCTCCTTCAACTCGTGAGCGGCTGCATCCTGGTCACCCGCACGGAGCCGCGTCAGCACCCGCAGGGCTGCGTCCGAGCGCCCGGCGCTCTCCAAGAACCGCGGGGTCTCACAAACAAAGTACAAGCCGAGGACCACCAGGAGGCCCATCGCCTAGGGATTGGTGGCAGTAGTTAGTGTGATTCTTGAAATTCTTGACGTGCACATACTTGTGCTGGTCATTTGTAGCTTCTTCCTTCTTCCTTTCTAGGTGCGGCACAAATAAAACTTGTGCTGGTCAACTGTAGCTTCTTTTCTAGGGATTCTAGGTGCGGCCCAGGAGCTACTTGAAGACCAAGTGACAAGCGCCAGCCCCACGTGGCATCATGCACCGCATAGTTCAGCACTGCAGCAGCTACGATGGCCAGGCACACGTTGTTCTGGTAGATGCCTACGAGCATGCCACGGATCTTCTCCGGCGCGACTTCGGAGATGAAGGCTGGCCCGGCCGAGGACGTTATGCCCACGCCGACTCCAGCAATGACCCTGCCGATGATGAGCATGATCGTGTTCTGCGCTGCTGTCTGCACGCCTCCACCTGGGGCCCCAAGCGCCGAACCTTCTAAACCCACACCCCCCATCCCCCCGCCCCCACCCAACCTACCCCAACCCTCCCCACCCCCACCCCCACCCACCCCCACCCACCCCCAACCTGCCCAACCCTCCCAACCCTCCCAACCCCCACCTACGGCAAACAGCAAGGAGCCGATGAACAATGCCGGCCGCCGGCCGTGCCTTACGGGCGCTTCAGAAACGCTGTGCCGGGTTTTGGGTCTGGGGTTCAGTGTTGGGTACTGTATGGGGAATAACACAAGGCTTCTTAGACCCACAAATACCCGGCAAGGCGCTTGTCCACCAGGTGGTGACCTGCCAGGACGGCGGCGACGGCCGCGCCGATGTTGAAGCCGTTCACCGTGAAGCCCTCCTAGGTCCCGGTGCAGAGTGGGGGGCTGGGCAAAACTGCACCTGAAACCCAAAAACGGTCCCAGGTCCCAAGCAAGGTTCCCAGAAGGCCACCATCGCGTTTTCCTCCTCCGGCCAGCCCATCATGCCGCGAAAGCTGGGCATGGTGAAGACATCGTTCACCACCCCGTTGTCGTAGCCGTGGAAGAAGCCCGTGGACGCAACGAACGCACCTGAGCCGCAGAGCACCTAGCAAAACAAAGAACCCTCAGCCTCAATCTCCTCCTGCGCTCGGGGCAACCTGGAACGAGGTAAGGAGGTTTCAACGACAAGCATGCCAAGTGGGAGACCCGGGCACAGATGATCGCGGCATAGGCGTTCTTCCAACAATCGGCCTTCGGCGCTTGCACCTCGACTGCGTCCGCCGACGCCACGCCCTGAATCGCAACCGGCTCTGCCATGCCCGAGAATCGACAATCGGGAAGTTCGGCTGACAACCCTGCTTCCTGCAGACCTTGATCCAAACACGCTGCTGCGGCCTTGGCTGAGGCTGCTTAGGCTGCTGAGGCTGCTTAGGCTACTTAGGCTGCTTAGGGCTTAGGCCGCTTTAGCTGCTTAAGCTGTCTGGGGGCTTTGGAGGGTTCAGGGTTTAGGCAAAGCGTTTTGGACCCGAACCTAAACCAGACATCGCGCTTTCCCGCCTTAAGTATCAACCCCATACGCCAAAAAAGCCCCCAAAGCTCTCAACCGTAAGCCCATACCAGCCACTCAACTCTCGACTCTCAGCCAGGCAAGAAACGTTCATGTGCACCAGACATCTGGAAGCTTCTTTCTCGAGTCGTGTCTCTAGCGTCTCTCAAATATCTCATAATATCTCTCTCCGAGCTGGGCTGGATTCAGGGAGCCCAGAGAGTTTTCGTAGAAAAACATGCACTGTACACAAGACATCCTCCCGCCAACGCCTCTTGCAAATGGCCCGGCCCCGTGGCGGGCTGAGGCGTTAAAGTCTGGGAGTGTGTCGGGCGCAGGGCCCAAACGACCTCGCCCACAAATTACAAGGGCATCTGCCCAGGGCCCTCGTGTGAGGCCCTCGCCCAGTGGGTCCAGAGGTTTTGTAGCTCGAGGAATGTGAGGGCCCCTAAGCCCTGAATCCCATGAACCCTTCTGAAAGGCTGTTTGGCTCGCAGGGTCTCTGCAGGATATCTGCTCCGGGCCACGAAGCCTCGACCGGGGGGCTTGTTCGGGGGTTAGGGGATTCAGGGCTTTTTATACAAGGTTTACCGGGGGGGGGGAGGGGGGGGGGCGCGCGCACTTGCAGAGCTTGTCGGGCTTGTCATTTAGGATTTGTGTGTTTGCAGAGCTTGAGGGCTTGCGGGCTTGCAGGCTTTGGTTCAACCCGCACATATTCCCGACACCATAACGCCCTCGGCCTAAAACCACAAAGCCAAAAGCAAGAGAGAGAAAGAGATACAGAGAAAGGACGAGAGAGAGAGAGAGAGAGAGAGAGAGAGAGAGCGAGATTGAAAAAGGAGAGCGTGCGAGAGAGTAAGGCAGTATTGCAAACTTGCGAGTGTAGCTGGGGGGCGCGCGCCTGGCATTTTCACACCTCCAGGACTTCGCTGCTGGGCTTCTTGTCCTCCTCCTGCTTTCGGGCCGTAGCTTGGGGGGCGATTTAAGCCCTCTTAGCTCAAGCACCCCATGAACCCCTGGTGAACCTGCCTTGAACCCCGCAGTCTCGGCAACGGCAACCAAGCCATGGCCGCCACGCAGGTTGCCCTCGAGCTTAGGGCTTTCTGCGTTGGATCGTTTCAGATGTTCAAGGTTTGAAGGTGTTTAGAGCTTGGGATTTAGGCATGCCGGGTTTCGTGTTGAGGGCTTCAGGTTTGGGCTTCGTGTGGGGCTTCGGATTCATGGCTTGTGGTTGTCGGATGTTGCCGGGGCTCTTTTGGGGGAACTCCTATAATGCCTCAAACCCAGACCCAGTTCCGTCCCTGCCCAAGTGCAAGAGCCGCAACTCCCCCCCCCCTCCTCCCCAACTCTCCTGAAACCTCGAAGTCGTCCAGGGTTTAGGGTCGTTGAGGGCTTCGAGAATTTGAAATCATAAATGTGAACAGCATGATATGGCTTCAACTTGCCTAGACCTTTGCAAAGCCCGAACCCGATAGCCCAAGCCCACTCCCCAAAACAGAGAAGCGGCCGCCCCTTTGGCTTCGTGCCTGGGCGAAGGATTTGAAGTCCTTCCAGCCGGAGAAGCGGAAGAGTGGCACGATCTCCTGCGCACTTGGGGGGCTGCCGACGTTCTGGGTGCGGGTTTATGGTAGCTGCGCCAGGATGTTTGGGTTGAGGGCGCAGGGAGTTGCAGGGGCTCCTCCAGGGTCTTGCCCTTGGTCTCGGGCACGCAAGTGAGCACGAAGGGGATCACGGCGAGGCACACGCACCCGAAGAAGATCAGCGTTCCGCCCGGGCCAAGCGGCGACGCGATCATCTGCGGAGTCAGGAAGGCACTCATGACGTTGGCAGGACCCCAGTTCATGGCCGTGCAGAGTCCCACGGCCTTTCCGCGCACCCGCAGCGGCATGATCTCAGAGATGTACAGCCAGGCCCCGAAGCCCCAGGAGATTCCGAAGGAGAACATGTACGCCACGATCATGGACACGATCGTGTAGCCTGCAGCTGTGCCGATCTGCCCATCTGGATCCTGTGCGAGCACTGCCACTCCACCCCCCACGAGCATCGTCACGCACATGGCCACCATGCCATAGAGCAGGAGTGGCCGCCGGCCCACGCGGTCCACCAAGAGACAGCTCCCTACAGCGTTTCCGATGGTGAAGGCCACAAAGGGGATGATAGAGAAGGTGATGCCGTGAAGGCCCAGGGCCTGGAAGAGCGTGCCGCTGAAGCTCACAATTGCGTTGATCCCAGTCATGATCTGGAAGAACTGGACGGCGCAGCCAATGATCACCACATTCCGGAAGAAGGGAACGGTGAAGACCTCGCTCCACGTGGCGTCCCCAGCAGCTTTCTCGGTGTCAATCTCTGCCCGCACCTCCTTCAACTCGTGAGCGGCTGCATCCTGGTCACCCGCACGGAGCCGCGTCAGCACCCGCAGGGCTGCGTCCGAGCGCCCGGCGCTCTCCAAGAACCGCGGGGTCTCACAAACAAAGTACAAGCCGAGGACCACCAGCAAGCCCATCGCCTACAGTGATTGGCGGGAGCAATTAGAGTGATTCTTGCAATTCTTGACGTGCACATACTTGTGCTGGTCATTTGTAGCTTCTTCCTTTCTAGGTGCGGAACAAATAAAACTTGTGCTGGTCATCTGTAGCTTCTTTTCTAGGGATTCTAGGTGCGGCCCAGGAGCTACTTGAAGACCAAGTGACAAGCGCCAGCCCCACGTGGCATCATGCACCGCATAGTTCAGCACTGCAGCAGCCACGATGGCCAGGCACACGTTGTTCTGGTAGATGCCTACGAGCATGCCACGGATCTTCTCCGGCGCGACTTCGGAGATGAAGGCTGGCCCGGCCGAGGACGTTATGCCCACGCCGACTCCAGCAATGACCCTGCCGATGATGAGCATGATCGTGTTCTGCGCTGCTGTCTGCACGCCTCCACCTGGGGCCCATCGCCACCAAACCTTCTAAACCCACACACCCCCAACCTGCCCAACCCTCCCAACCCTCCCAACCCCCACCTACGGCAAACAGCAAGGAGCCGATGAACAATGCCGGCCGCCGGCCGTGCCTTACGGGTGCTTCAGAAACGCTGTGCCGGGTTTTGGGTCTGGGGTTCAGTGTTGGGTACTGTATGGGGAATAACACAAGGCTTCTTAGACCCACAAATACCCGGCAAGGCGCTTGTCCACCAGGTGGTGACCTGCCAGGACGGCGGCGACGGCCGCGCCGATGTTGAAGCCGTTCACCGTGAAGCCCTCCTAGGTCCCGGTGCAGAGTGGGGGGCTGGGCAAAACTGCACCCGAAACCCAAAAACGGTCCCAGGTCCCAAATGGTCCCAAGCAAGGTTCCCAGAAGGCCACCATCGCGTTTTCCTCCTCCGGCCAGCCCATCATGCCGCGAAAGCTGGGCATGGTGAAGACATCGTTCACCACCCCGTTGTCGTAGCCGTGGAAGAAGCCCGTGGACGCAACGAACGCACCTGAGCCGCAGAGCACCTAGCAAAACAAAGAACCCTCAGCCTCAATCTCCTCCTGCGCTCGGGGCAACCTGGAACGAGGTAAGGAGGTTTCAACGACAAGCATGCCAAGTGGGAGACCCGGGCACAGATGATCGCGGCATAGGCGTTCTTCCAACAATCGGCCTTCGGTGCTTGCACCTCGACTGCGTCCGCCGACACCACACCCCGAATCGCAACCGGCTCTGCCATGCCCGAGAATCGACAATCGGGAAGTTCGGCTGACAACCCTGCTTCCTGCAGACCTTGATCCAAACACGCTGCTGCGGCCTTGGCTGAGGCTGCTTAGGCTGCTGAGGCTGCTTAGGCTACTTAGGCTGCTTAGGGCTTCGGCCGCTTGGGCTGCTTAAGCTGTCTGGAGGCCTTGGAGGGTTCAGGGTTTAGGCAAAGCGTTTTGGCTCCTTGCTTCAGAGTGACGTTGCAGAGGACCTGAACCATAACACCCATAGTCTCCTCCTGATGCCTCACCCGCCCCTTGAGAACCCTATGAACCGGAACCGGCGAGAGGCCCGCTGACCGTGCGAATGCGCGCCCGTCCAAAGCCGTAAGCCCATATCAGCCACTCAACTCTCGACTCCCAGCCAAGCAAAAAACGTTCATGTGCCCCAGACATCTGGAAGCTTCTTTCTCGAGTCGTGTCTCTAGCGTCTCTCAAGTATCTCATAATATCTCTCTCCGAGCTGGGCTGGATTCAGGGAGCCCAGAGAGTTTTCGAAGAAAAACATGCACTGTACACAAGACATCCTCCCGCCAACGCCTCTTGCAAATGGCCCAGCCCCGTGGCGGGCTGAGGCGTTACAGTCTGGGAGTGTGTCGGGCGCAGGGCCCAAACGACCTCGCCCACAAATTGAATTTTAAATGGGCATCCGCCCAGGTCCCTCGTGTGAGGCCCTCGCCCAGGTCCAGAGCTTTTGTAGCTCGAGGAATGTCAGGGCCCCTAAGCCCTGGATCCCGTGAACCCTTTTAAAAACCTGTTTGGCTCGCAGGGTCTCTGCAGGATTTCTGGTCCGGGCCACGAAGCCTCGACCGGGGGGCTTGTTCGGGGGTTAGGGGATTCTGGGCTTTTTATACAAAGTTTACAGGGGGGTGCTTGCAGAGCTTGTCGGGCTTGTCATGTAGGATTTGTGTGTTTGCAGGGCTTGCAGGCTTGCAGGCTTGCAGGATTCGGTTCAACCCGCACCTATTCCAGACACCATAACGCCTTCGGCCTAAAACCACAAAGCCAAAGCAAGAGAGAGAAAGAGAGACAGAGAGAAAAGAGAGACAGAGAGAGAGAGAGAGAGAACAAGAACAAAAAAATGAGAGATAGAGAGAGAGAGACAGTAAGGCAGTATTGCAAACTTTCGAGTGTAGCTGGGGGTGCGCCTGGCATTTTCACACCTCCAGGACTTCGCTGCTGGGCTTCTTGTCCTCCTCCTGCTTTCGGGCCGTAGCTTGGGGGGCTTCAGAGTCGTTAGCCTCTGGGTGTGGGGTTCCCGGTTAACCCCCTCTAAGAAAAAGCATCCAGCAACCCCTATAGCAAACCCGATTAAGCCGTCTAGGCTCACCTATAGAGCACCAAAAAAAAAACCTTCTCCAACACCCCATACACCCTGCTGAACCTGCCTTGAACCCCGCAGTCTCGGCAACAACCAAGCCATGGCCGCCGCGCAGGTTGCCCTCGAGCTTAGGGATTATAGTGCTTAGGATCGTTTCAGATGTGCAAGGCTTGAAGGTTTCTAGAGCGTGGGATTTAGGGATGCAGGGTTTCGTGTTGAGGGCTTCAGGTTTGGGGTTCGTGTGGGGCTTCGGATTCATGGCTTATGGTTGTCGGATGTTGCCGGGGCTTTTGGGGGGAACTCCTAATGCCTCAAACCCAGACCCCCCAGTTCGGTCCCTCAACGAGGTGCCCAAGTGAAAGAGCCGCAATTCACCCAACTCTCCTGAAACCTCGAAGTCCAGGGTTTAGGGTAATTAGCTGGGGGGCTTCGGAGATTTTTGAAATCATAAATGTGAACAGCATGATATGGCTTCAACTTGCCTAGACCTTTGCAAAGCCCGAACCCGCTAGCCCAAGCCCGCTCCCCAAAAACAGGTGCCACCCCTTTGGCTTCGTGCCTGGGCGAAGGATTTGAAGTCCTTCCAGCCGGAGAAGCGGAAGAGTGGCACGATCTCCTGCGCACTTGGGGGGCTGCCGACGTTGTGGGTGCGGGCTTATGGTAGCTGCGCCAGGATGTTTGGGTTGAGGGCGCAGGGAGTTGCAGGGGCTCCTCCAGGGTCTTGCCCTTGGTCTCGGGCACGCAGGTGAGCACGAAGGGGATCACGGCGAGGCACACGCACCCGAAGAAGATCAGCGTTCCGCCCGGGCCAAGCGGCGACGCGATCATCTGCGGAGTCAGGAAGGCACTCATGACGTTGGCAGGACCCCAGTTCATGGCCGTGCAGAGTCCCACGGCCTTTCCGCGCACCCGCAGCGGCATGATCTCGGAGATGTACAGCCAGGCCCCGAAGCCCCAGGAGATTCCGAAGGAGAACATGTACGCCACGATCATGGACACGATCGTGTAGCCTGCAGCTGTGCCGATCTGCCCATCTGGATCCTGTGCGAGCACTGCCACTCCACCCCCCACGAGCATCGTCACGCACATGGCCACCATGCCATAGAGCAGAAGTGGCCGCCGGCCCACGCGGTCCACCAAGAGACAGCTCCCTACAGCGTTTCCGATGGTGAAGGCCACAAAGGGGATGATAGAGAAGGTGATGCCGTGAAGGCCCAGGGCCTGGAAGAGCGTGCCGCTGAAGCTCACAATGGCGTTGATCCCAGTCATGATCTGGAAGAACTGGACGGCGCAGCCAATGATCACGACATTCCGGAAGAAGGGAACGGTGAAGACCTCGCTCCACGTGGCATCCCCAGCAGCTTTCTCGGTGTCAATCTCTGCCCGCACCTCCTTCAACTCGTGAGCGGCTGCATCCTGGTCACCCGCACGGAGCCGCGTCAGCACCCGCAGGGCTGCGTCCGAGCGCCCGGCGCTCTCCAAGAACCGCGGGGTCTCACAAACAAAGTACAAGCCGAGGACCACCAGCAAGCCCATAGCCTAGGGATTTGCGGGAGTAGTTAGTGTGATTCTTGCAATTCTTGACGTGCACATACTTGTGCTGGTCATTTGCAGCTTCTTCCTTTCTAGGTGCGGAACAAATACGACTTGTGCTGGTCATCTGTGGCTTCTTTTCTAGGGATTCTAGGTGCGGCCCAGGAGCTACTTGAAGACCAAGTGACAAGCGCCAGCCCCACGTGGCATCATGCACCGCATAGTTCAGCACTGCAGCAGCCACGATGGCCAGGCACACGTTGTTCTGGTAGATGCCTACGAGCATGCCACGGATCTTCTCCGGCGCGACTTCGGAGATGAAGGCTGGCCCGGCCGAGGACGTTATGCCCACGCCGACACCAGCAATGACCCTGCCGATGATGAGCATGATCGTGTTCTGCGCTGCTGTCTGCACGCCTCCACCTGGGGCCCATCGCCACCAAACCTTCTAAACCCACACCCCATCCCCCCACCCCCAACCTGCCCAACCCTCCCAACCCTCCCAACCCCCACCTACGGCAAACAGCAAGGAGCCGATGAACAATGCCGGCCGCCGGCCGTGCCTTACGGGTGCTTCAGAAACGCTGTGCCGGGTTTTGGGTCTGGGGTTCAGTGTTGGGTACTGTATGGGGAATAACACAAGGCTTCTTAGACCCACAAATACCCGGCAAGGCGCTTGTCCACCAGGTGGTGACCTGCCAGGACGGCGGCGACGGCCGCGCCGATGTTGAAGCCGTTCACCGTGAAGCCCTCCTAGGTCCCGGTGCAGAGTGGGGGGCTGGGCAAAACTGCACCTGAAACCCAAAAACGGTCCCAGGTCCCAAGCAAGGTTCCCAGAAGGCCACCATCGCGTTTTCCTCCTCCGGCCAGCCCATCATGCCGCGAAAGCTGGGCATGGTGAAGACATCGTTCACCACCCCGTTGTCGTAGCCGTGGAAGAAGCCCGTGGACGCAACGAACGCACCTGAGCCGCAGAGCACCTAGCAAAACAAAGAACCCTCAGCCTCAATCTCCTCCTGCGCTCGGGGCAACCTGGAACGAGGTAAGGAGGTTTCAACGACAAGCATGCCAAGTGGGAGACCCGGGCACAGATGATCGCGGCATAGGCGTTCTTCCAACAATCGGCCTTCGGTGCTTGCACCTCGACTGCGTCCGCCGACACCACACCCCGAATCGCAACCGGCTCTGCCATGCCCGAGAATCGACAATCGGGAAGTTCGGCTGACAACCCTGCTTCCTGCAGACCTTGATCCAAACACGCTGCTGCGGCCTTGGCTGAGGCTGCTTAGGCTGCTGAGGCTGCTTAGGCTACTTAGGCTGCTTAGGGCTTCGGCCGCTTGGGCTGCTTAAGCTGTCTGGAGGCCTTGGAGGGTTCAGGGTTTAGGCAAAGCGTTTTGGCTCCTTGCTTCAGAGTGACGTTGCAGAGGACCTGAACCATAACACCCATAGTCTCCTCCTGATGCCTCACCCGCCCCTTGAGAACCCTATGAACCGGAACCGGCGAGAGGCCCGCTGACCGTGCGAATGCGCGCCCGTCCAAAGCCGTAAGCCCATATCAGCCACTCAACTCTCGACTCCCAGCCAAGCAAAAAACGTTCATGTGCCCCAGACATCTGGAAGCTTCTTTCTCGAGTCGTGTCTCTAGCGTCTCTCAAGTATCTCATAATATCTCTCTCCGAGCTGGGCTGGATTCAGGGAGCCCAGAGAGTTTTCGTAGAAAAACATGCACTGTACACAAGACATCCTCCCGCCAATGCCTCTTGCAAATGGCCCGGCCCCGTGGCGGGCTGAGGCGTTCAAGTCTGGGAGTGTGTCGGGCGCAGGGTCCAAACGACCTCGCCCACAAATTGAATTTTAAATGGGCATCCGCCCAGGGCCCTCGTGTGAGGCCCTCGCCCAGTGGGGTCCAGAGCTTTTGTAGCTCGAGGAACGTCAGGGCCCCTAAGCCCTGGATCCCGTGAACCCTTCTGAAAGGCTGTTTAGCTCGCAGGGTCTCTGCAGGATATCTGCTCCGGGCCACGAAGCCTCGACCGGGGGGCTTGTTCGGGGGTTAGGGGATTCAGGGCATTTATACAAGGTTTACCTTTGTGTGTTTGCAGGGCTTGGGGGCTTGCAGGCTTGCAGGCTTGCAGGATTTGGTTCAACCCGCACCTATTCCAGACACCATAACGCCTTCGGCCTAAAACCACAAAGCCAAAGCAAGAGAGAGAAAGGGAGACAGAGAGAAAAGAGAGACAGAGAGAGAGAGAGAGAGAGAGAAAAAAAAAAAGATGAGAGATAGAGAGAGAGACAGTAAGGCAGTATTGCAAACTTTCGAGTGTAGCTGGGGGCGCGCGCCTGGCATTTTCACACCTCCAGGACTTCGCTGCTGGGCTTCTTGTCCTCCTCCTGCTTTCGGGCCGTAGCTTGGGGGGGCTTCAGAGTCGTTAGCCTCTGGGTGTGGGGTTCGCGGTTAACCCCCTCTAAGAAAAAGCATCCAGCAACCCCTATAGCAAACCCGATTAAGCCGTCTAGGCTCACTTATAGAGCACAAAAAAAAAACCTTCTCAAACACCCCATACACCCTGCTGAACCTGCCTTGAACCCCGCAGTCTCGGCAACAACCAAGCCATGGCCGCCGCGCAGGTTGCCCTCGAGCTTAGGGATAAGTGCATAGCATCGTTTCAGATGTGCAAGGCTTGAAGGTTTCTAGAGCGTGGGATTTAGGGATGCAGGGTCGTGTTGAGGGCTTCAGGTTTGGGGTTCGTGTGGGGCTTCGGATTCATGGCTTATGGTTGTCGGATGCTGCTGGGGCTCTTTTGGGGGGAACTCCTTCATGCGTCAAACCCAGACCCGCCAGTTCGGTCCCTCAACGAGGTGCCCAAGTGAAAGAGCCGCAATTCACCCAACTCTCCTGAAACCTCGAAGTCCAGGGTTTAGGGTAGCCGGGGGGCTTCGGAGATTTTTGAAATCATAAATGTGAACAGCATGATATGGCTTCAACTTGCCTAGACCTTTGCAAAGCCCGAACCCGCTAGCCCAAGCCCGCTCCCCAAAAACAGGTGCCACCCCTTTGGCTTCATGCCTGGGCGAAGGATTTGAAGTCCTTCCAGCCGGAGAAGCGGAAGAGTGGCACGATCTCCTGCGCACTTGGGGGGCTGCCGACGTTGTGGGTGCGGGCTTATGGTAGTTGCGCCAGGATGTTTGGGTTGTGGGGGTGTAGGGAGTTGTAGGGGCTCCTCCAGGGTCTTGCCCTTGGTCTCGGGCACGCAGGTGAGCACGAAGGGGATCACGGCGAGGCAGACGCACCCGAAGAAGATCAGCGTCCCGCCCGGGCCAAGCGGCGACGCGATCATCTGCGGCGTCAGGAAGGCACTCATGACGTTGGCAGGACCCCAGTTCATGGCCGTGCAGAGTCCCACGGCCTTTCCGCGCACCCGCAGCGGCATGATCTCGGAGATGTACAGCCAGGCCCCGAAGCCCCAGGAGATTCCGAAGGAGAACATGTACGCCACGATCATGGACACGATCGTGTAGCCTGCAGCTGTGCCGATCTGCCCATCTGGATCCTGTGCGAGCACTGCCACTCCACCCCCCACGAGCATCGTCACGCACATGGCCACCATGCCATAGAGCAGAAGTGGCCGCCGGCCCACGCGGTCCACCAAGAGACAGCTCCCTACAGCGTTTCCGATGGTGAAGGCCACAAAGGGGATGATGGAGAAGGTGATGCCGTGAAGGCCCAAGGCCTGGAAGAGCGTGCCGCTGAAGCTGACAATCGCGTTGATCCCAGTCATGATCTGGAAGAACTGGACGGCGCAGCCAATGATCACGACATTCCGGAAGAAGGGAACGGTGAAGACCTCGCTCCAAGTGGCGTCCCCAGCAGCTTTCTCGGTGTCGATCTCTGCCCGCACCTCCTTCAACTCGTGAGCGGCTGCATCCTGGTCACCCGCACGGAGCCGCGTCAGCACCCGCAGGGCTGCGTCCGAGCGACCGGCACTCTCCAAGAACCGCGGGGTCTCACAAACGAAGTACAAGCCGAGGACCACCAGCAAGCCCATCGCCTACAGTGATTGGCGGGAGCAATTAGAGTGATTCTTGCAATTCTTGACGTGCACATACTTTTGCTGGTCATTTGCAGCTTCTTCCTTTCGAGGTGCGGCACAAATAAAACTTGTGCTGGTCATCTGTAGCTTCTTTTCTAGGGATTCTAGGTGCGGCCCAGGAGCTACTTGAAGACCAAGTGACAAGCGCCAGCCCCACGTGGCATCATGCACCGCATAGTTCAGCACTGCAGCAGCCACGATGGCCAGGCACACGTTGTTCTGGTAGATGCCTACGAGCATGCCACGGATCTTCTCCGGCGCGACTTCGGAGATGAAGGCTGGCCCGGCCGAGGACGTTATGCCCACGCCGACTCCAGCAATGACCCTGCCGATGATGAGCATGATCGTGTTCTGCGCTGCTGTCTGCACGCCTCCACCTGGGGCCCATCGCCACCAAACCTTCTAAACCCACACCCCATCCCCCCGCCCCCAACCTGCCCAACCCTCCCAACCCTCCCAACCCACCCCACCCCCACCTACGGCAAACAGCAGGGAGCCGATGAACAATGCTGGCCGCCGTCCGTGCCTTAGAAACGGGCGGTGCAGGGTTCAGGGTTTGGGGTGTAATCATTCTGGTTTAGGAATGAACTTACTACAAAATGGGGAAATAACAAGAAGAATATAGGCGCAATGCTTCCTGCAGGGATCCATTCCAACCTCAACCCAGGGATCCATTCCAACCTAAACCCTACATGCCTTCAGCAGCGCCAAGGCGCTTGTCCACCAGGTGGTGACCTGCCAGGACGGCGGCGACGGCCGCGCCGATGTTGAAGCCGTTCACCGTGAAGCCCTCCTAGGTCCCGGTGCAGAGTGGGGGGCTGGGCAAAACTGCACCCGAAACCCAAAAACGGTCCCAGGTCCCAAATGGTCCCAAGCAAGGTTCCCAGAAGGCCACCATCGCGTTTTCCTCCTCCGGCCAGCCCATCATGCTGCGAAAGCTGCTCATGGTGAAGACATCGTTCACCACCCCGTTGTCGTAGCCGTGGAAGAAGCCCGTGGACGCAACGAACGCACCTGAGCCGCAGAGCGCCTAGCAAAACGTAGAACCCTCAACCTCAACCTCCTCCCGCGCTCGGGGCAACCTGGAGGTTTCAACGACAAGCACGCCAAGTGGGAGACCCGGGCACAGATGATCGCGGCATAGGCGTTCTTCCAACAATCGGCCTTCGGCGCTTGCGCCTCGACTGCGTCCGCCGACGCCACGCCCTGAATTGCAACCGGCTCTGCCATGCCCGAGAATCGACAATCGGGAAGTTCGGCTGACAACCCTGCTTCCTGCAGACCTTGATCCAAACACGCTGCTGCGGCCTTGGCTGAGGCTGCTTAGGCTGCTGAGGCTGCTTAGGCTACTTAGGCTGCTTAGGGCTTCGGCCGCTTGGGCTGCTTAAGCTGTCTGGAGGCCTTGGAGGGTTCAGGGTTTAGGCAAAGCGTTTTGGCTCCTTGCTTCAGAGTGACGTTGCAGAGGACCTGAACCATAACACCCATAGTCTCCTCCTGATGCCTCACCCGCCCCTTGAGAACCCTATGAACCGGAACCGGCGAGAGGCCCGCTGACCGTGCGAATGCGCGCCCGTCCAAAGCTCTCAACCGTCGTAAGCCCATATCAGCCACTCAACTCTCGACTCCCAGCCAAGCAAAAAACGTTCATGTGCCCCAGACATCTGGAAGCTTCTTTCTCGAGTCGTGTCTCTAGCGTCTCAAAAATATCTCATAATATCTCTCTCCGAGCTGGGCTGGATTCAGGGAGCCCAGAGAGTTTTCGTAGAAAAACATGCACTGTACACAAGACATCCTCCAACCAACGCCTCTTGCAAATGGCCCAGCCCCATGGCGGGCTGAGGCGTTCAAGTCTGGGAGTGTGTCGGGCGCAGGGTCCAAACGACCTCGCCCACAAATTGAATTTTAAATGGGCATCCGCCCAGGGCCCTCGTGTGAGGCCCTCGCCCAGTGGGGTCCAAAGCTCTTGTAGCTCGAGGAACATCAGGGCCCCTAAGCCCTGGATCCCGTGAACCCTTCTGAAAGGCTGTTTGGCTCGCAGGGTCTCTGCAGGATATCTGCTCCGGGCCACGAAGCCTCGACCGGGGGGCTTGTTCGGGGGTTAGGGGATTCAGGGCTTTTTATACAAGGTTTACCGGGGGGGGGGAGGGGGGGGGCGCGCGCACTTGCAGAGCTTGTCGGGCTTGTCATTTAGGATTTGTGTGTTTGCAGAGCTTGAGGGCTTGCGGGCTTGCAGGCTTTGGTTCAACCCGCACATATTCCCGACACCATAACGCCCTCGGCCTAAAACCACAAAGCCAAAAGCAAGAGAGAGAAAGAGATACAGAGAAAGGACGAGAGAGAGAGAGAGAGAGAGAGAGAGAGAAGATTGAAAAAGGAGAGCGTGCGAGAGAGTAAGGCAGTATTGCAAACTTGCGAGTGTAGCTGGGGGGCGCGCGCCTGGCATTTTCACACCTCCAGGACTTCGCTGCTGGGCTTCTTGTCCTCCTCCTGCTTTCGGGCCGTAGCTTGGGGGGCTTCAGAGTCGTTAGCCTCTGGGTGTGGGGTTCGCGGTTAACCCCCTCTAAGAAAAAGCATCCAGCAACCCCTATAGCAAACCCGATTTGAGCCCTCTTAGCTCACCTATAGAGCACCAACAAAAAAAACCTTCTCAAGCACCCCATGAACCCCTGGTGAACCTGCCTTGAACCCCGCAGTCTCGGCAACAAGCAAGCCATGGCCGCCACGCAGGTTGCCCTCGAGCTCAGGGATTATAGTGCTCAGCATCGTTTCAGATGTTCAAGGCTTGAAGGTGTTTAGAGCTTGGGATTTAGGCATGCAGGGTTTCGTGTTGAGGGCTTCAGGTTTGGGCTTCGTGTGGGGCTTCGGATTCATGCCTTGTGGTTGTCGGATGTTGCCGGGGCTATTATAATGCCTCAAACCCAGACCCAGTTCCGTCCCTGCCCAAGTGAAAGAGCCGCAACTCCCCCCCCCTCCCCCCTCCCCAACTCTCCTGAAACCTCGAAGTCCAGGGTTTAGGGTCGTTGGGGGCTTCGAGAATTTGAAATCATAAATGTGAACAGCATGATATGGCTTCAAACTTGCCTAGACCTTTGCAAAGCCCGAGCCCGATAGCCCAAGCCCGCTCCCCAAAAAAGAGAAGGGGCCACCCCTTTGGCTTCGTGCCTGGGCGAAGGATTTGAAGTCCTTCCAGCCGGAGAAGCGGAAGAGTGGCACGATCTCCTGCGCACTTGGGGGGCTGCCGACGTTGTGGGTGCGGGCTTATGGTAGCTGCGCCAGGATGTTTGGGTTGTGGGGGCGCAGGGAGCTGTAGGGGCTCCTCCAGGGTCTTGCCCTTGGTCTCGGGCACGCAGGTGAGCACGAAGGGGATCACGGCGAGGCACACGCACCCGAAGAAGATCAGCGTTCCGCCCGGGCCAAGCGGCGACGCGATCATCTGCGGAGTCAGGAAGGCACTCATGACGTTGGCAGGACCCCAGTTCATGGCCGTGCAGAGTCCCACGGCCTTTCCGCGCACCCGCAGCGGCATGATCTCGGAGATGTACAGCCAGGCCCCGAAGCCCCAGGAGATTCCGAAGGAGAACATGTACGCCACGATCATGGACACGATCGTGTAGCCTGCAGCTGTGCCGATCTGCCCATCTGGATCCTGTGCAAGCACTGCCACTCCACCCCCCACGAGCATCGTCACGCACATGGCCACCATGCCATAGAGCAGGAGTGGCCGCCGGCCCACGCGGTCCACCAAGAGACAGCTCCCTACAGCGTTTCCGATGGTGAAGGCCACAAAGGGGATGATAGAGAAGGTGATGCCGTGAAGGCCCAGGGCCTGGAAGAGCGTTCCGCTGAAGCTCACAATGGCATTGATCCCAGTCATGATCTGGAAGAACTGGACGGCGCAGCCAATGATCACCACATTCCGGAAGAAGGGAACGGTGAAGACCTCGCTCCACGTGGCGTCCCCAGCAGCTTTCTCGGTGTCAATCTCTGCCCGCACCTCCTTCAACTCGTGAGCGGCTGCATCCTGGTCACCCGCACGGAGCCGCGTCAGCACCCGCAGGGCTGCGTCCGAGCGCCCGGCGCTCTCCAAGAACCGCGGGGTCTCACAAACAAAGTACAAGCCGAGGACCACCAGCAAGCCCATCGCCTACAGGGATTGGCGGGAGCAATTAGAGTGATTCTTGCAATTCTTGACGTGCACATACTTTTGCTGGTCATTTGCAGCTTCTTCCTTTCGAGGTGCGGCACAAATAAAACTTGTGCTGGTCATCTGTAGCTTCTTTTCTAGGGATTCTAGGTGCGGCCCAGGAGCTACTTGAAGACCAAGTGACAAGCGCCAGCCCCACGTGGCATCATGCACCGCATAGTTCAGCACTGCAGCAGCCACGATGGCCAGGCACACGTTGTTCTGATAGATGCCTACGAGCATGCCACGGATCTTCTCCGGCGCGACTTCGGAGATGAAGGCTGGCCCGGCCGAGGACGTTATGCCCACGCCGACTCCAGCAATGACCCTGCCGATGATGAGCATGATCGTGTTCTGCGCTGCTGTCTGCACGCCTCCACCTGGGGCCCATCGCCACCAAACCTTCTAAACCCCCACCCCCAACCTGCCCAACCCTCCAAACCCTCCCAACCCACCCACCCCCACCTACGGCAAACAGCAAGGAGCCGATGAACAATGCCGGTCGCCGGCCGTGCCTTAAGAAGAGGGCGGTGCAGGGTTCAGGGTTTGGGGTGTAATCATTCTGGTTTAGGAATGAACTTACTACAAAATGGGGAAATAACAAGAAGAATATAGGCGCAATGCTTCCTGCAGGGATCCATTCCAACCTCAACCCAGGGATCCATTCCAACCTAAACCCTACATGCCTTCAGCAGCGGCAAGGCGCTTGTCCACCAGGTGGTGACCTGCCAGGACGGCGGCGACGGCCGCGCCGATGTTGAAGCCGTTCACCGTGAAGCCCTCCTAGGTCCCGGTGCAGAGTGGGGGGCTGGGCAAAACTGCACCCGAAACCCAAAAACGGTCCCAGGTCCCAAATGGTCCCAAGCAAGGTTCCCAGAAGGCCACCATCGCGTTTTCCTCCTCCGGCCAGCCCATCATGCTGCGAAAGCTGCTCATGGTGAAGACATCGTTCACCACCCCGTTGTCGTAGCCGTGGAAGAAGCCCGTGGACGCAACGAACGCACCTGAGCCGCAGAGCGCCTAGCAAAACGTAGAACCCTCAACCTCAACCTCCTCCCGCGCTCGGGGCAACCTGGAGGTTTCAACGACAAGCACGCCAAGTGGGAGACCCGGGCACAGATGATCGCGGCATAGGCGTTCTTCCAACAATCGGCCTTCGGCGCTTGCGCCTCGACTGCGTCCGCCGACGCCACGCCCTGAATCGCAACCGGCTCCGCCATGCCCGAGAATCGACAATCGGGAAGTTCGGCTGACAACCCTGCTTCCTGCAGACCTTGATCCAAACACGCTGCTGCGGCCTTGGCTGAGGCTGCTTAGGCTACTTACGCTGCTTAGGGCTTCGGCCGCTTGGGCTGCTTAAGCTGTCCGGAGGCTTTGGAGGGTTCAGGGTTTAGGCAAAGCGTTTTGGCTCCTTGCTTCAGAGTGACGTTGCAGAGGACCTGAACCACAACACCCATAGTCTCCTCCTGATGCCTCACCCGCCCCTTGAGAACCCTATGAACCGGAACCGGCGAGAGGCCCGCTGACCGTGCGAATGCGCGCCCGTCCAAAGCTCTCAACCGTAAGCCCATATCAGCCACTCAACTCTCGACTCCCAGCCAAGCAAAAAACGTTCATGTGCCCCAGACATCTGGAAGCTTCTTTCTCGAGTCGTGTCTCTAGCGTCTCTCAAATATCTCATAATATCTCTCTCCGAGCTGGGCTGGATTCAGGGAGCCCAGAGAGTTTTCGTAGAAAAACATGCACTGTACACAAGACATCCTCCCGCCAACGCCTCTTGCAAATGGCCCGGCCCCGGGAGTGTGTCGGGCGCAGGGCCCAAACGACCTCGCCCACAAATTACAAGGGCATCTGCCCAGGGCCCTCGTGTGAGGCCCTCGCCCAGTGGGTCCAGAGGTTTTGTAGCTCGAGGAATGTGAGGGCCCCTAAGCCCTGAATCCCATGAACCCTTCTGAAAGGCTGTTTGGCTCGCAGGGTCTCTGCAGGATATCTGCTCCGGGCCACGAAGCCTCGACCGGGGGGCTTGTTCGGGGGTTAGGGGATTCAGGGCTTTTTATACAAGGTTTACCGGGGGGGGGGAGGGGGGGGGGCGCGCGCACTTGCAGAGCTTGTCGGGCTTGTCATTTAGGATTTGTGTGTTTGCAGAGCTTGAGGGCTTGCGGGCTTGCAGGCTTTGGTTCAACCCGCACATATTCCCGACACCATAACGCCCTCGGCCTAAAACCACAAAGCCAAAAGCAAGAGAGAGAAAGAGATACAGAGAAAGGACGAGAGAGAGAGAGAGAGAGAGAGAGAGAGAGATTGAAAAAGGAGAGCGTGCGAGAGAGTAAGGCAGTATTGCAAACTTGCGAGTGTAGCTGGGGGGCGCGCGCCTGGCATTTTCACACCTCCAGGACTTCGCTGCTGGGCTTCTTGTCCTCCTCCTGCTTTCGGGCCGTAGCTTGGGGGGCTTCAGAGTCGTTAGCCTCTGGGTGTGGGGCTCGCGGTTAACCCCCTCTAAGAAAAAGCATCCAGCAACCCCTATAGCAAACCCGATTTAAGCCCTCTAAGCTCACCTATAGAGCACCAAAAAAAAAACCTTCTCAAAAACCCCAGAAACCCTGCTGAACCTGCCTTGAACCCCGCAGTCTCGGCAACAACCAAGCCATGGCCGCCACGCAGGTTGCCCTCGAGCTCAGGGATTACAGTGCTTAGCATCGTTTCAGATGTTCAAGGCTTGAAGGTGTTTAGAGCTTGGGATTTAGGCATGCAGGGTTTCGTGTTGAGGGCTTCAGGTTTGGGCTTCGTGTGGGGCTTCGGATTCATGGCTTGTGGTTGTCGGATGTTGCCGGGGCTCTTTTGGGGGAACTCCTATAATGCCTCAAACCCAGACCCAGTTCCGTCCCTGCCCAAGTGAAAGAGCCGCAACTCCCCCCCCCCTCCCCCCTCCCCAACTCTCCTGATACCTCGAAGTCCAGGGTTTAGGGTCGTTGGGGGCTTCGAGAATTTGAAATCATAAATGTGAGCAGCATGATGTGGCTTCAAACTTGCCGAAACCCTTGCAAAGCCCGAACCCTGTAGCCCAAGCCCACTCCCCAAAAAAGAGAAGGGGCCACCCCTTTGGCTTCGTGCCTGGGCGAAGGATTTGAAGTCCTTCCAGCCGGAGAAGCGGAAGAGTGGCACGATCTCCTGCGCACTTGGGGGGCTGCCGACGTTGTGGGTGGGGGCTTATGGGCCATTTTTGGAGTAGCTGCGCCAGGATGTTTGGGTTGTGGGGGTGTAGGGGAGTTGTAGCGGCTCCTCCAGGGTCTTGCCCTTGGTCTCGGGCACGCAGGTGAGCACGAAGGGGATCACGGCGAGGCAGACGCCCCCGAAGAAGATCAGCGTCCCGCCCGGGCCAAGCGGCGACGCGATCATCTGCGGCGTCAGGAAGGCACTCATGACGTTGGCAGGACCCCAGTTCATGGCCGTGCAGAGTCCCACGGCCTTTCCGCGCACCCGCAGCGGCATGATCTCGGAGATGTACAGCCAGGCCCCGAAGCCCCAGGAGATTCCGAAGGAGAACATGTACGCCACGATCATGGACACGATCGTGTAGCCTGCAGCTGTGCCGATCTGCCCATCTGGATCCTGTGCGAGCACTGCCACTCCACCCCCCACGAGCATCGTCACGCACATGGCCACCATGCCATAGAGCAGAAGTGGCCGCCGGCCCACGCGGTCCACCAAGAGACAGCTCCCTACAGCGTTTCCGATGGTGAAGGCCACAAAGGGGATGATAGAGAAGGTGATGCCGTGAAGGCCCAGGGCCTGGAAGAGCGTGCCGCTGAAGCTCACAATCGCGTTGATCCCAGTCATGATCTGGAAGAACTGGACGGCGCAGCCAATGATCACCACATTCCGGAAGAAGGGAACGGTGAAGACCTCGCTCCAAGTGGCGTCCCCAGCAGCTTTCTCGGTGTCGATCTCTGCCCGCACCTCCTTCAACTCGTGAGCGGCTGCATCCTGGTCACCCGCACGGAGCCGCGTCAGCACCCGCAGGGCTGCGTCCGAGCGCCCGGCGCTCTCCAAGAACCGCGGGGTCTCACAAACAAAGTACAAGCCGAGGACCACCAGCAAGCCCATAGCCTATAGGGATTGGCGGGAGCAACTAGAGTGATTCTTGCAATTCTTGACGTGCACATACTTGTGCTGGTCATTTGTAGCTTCTTCCTTTCTAGGTGCGGAACAAATGAAACTTGTGCTGGTCATCTGTAGCTTCTTTTCTAGGGATTCTAGGTGCGGCCCAGGAGCTACTTGAAGACCAAGTGACAAGCGCCAGCCCCACGTGGCATCATGCACCGCATAGTTCAGCACTGCAGCAGCCACGATGGCCAGGCACACGTTGTTCTGGTAGATGCCTACGAGCATGCCACGGATCTTCTCCGGCGCGACTTCGGAGATGAAGGCTGGCCCGGCCGAGGATGTTATGCCCACGCCGACTCCAGCAATGACCCTGCCGATGATGAGCATGATCGTGTTCTGCGCTGCTGTCTGCACGCCTCCACCTGGGGCCCATCGCCACCAAACCTTCTAAACCCCCACCCCCAACCTGCCCAACCCTCCAAACCCTCCCAAACCACCCACCCCCACCTACGGCAAACAGCAAGGAGCCGATGAACAATGCCGGTCGCCGGCCGTGCCTTAAGAAGAGGGCGGTGCAGGGTTCAGGGTTTGGGGTGTAATCATTCTGGTTTAGGAATGAACTTACTACAAAATGGGGAAATAACAAGAAGAATATAGGCGCAATGCTTCCTGCAGGGAAACCCATAAATACCCGGCAAGGCGCTTGTCCACCAGGTGGTGACCTGCCAGGACGGCGGCGACGGCCGCGCCGATGTTGAAGCCGTTCACCGTGAAGCCCTCCTAGGTCCCGGTGCAGAGTGGGGGGCTGGGCAAAACTGCACCCGAAACCCAAAAACGGTCCCAGGTCCCAAATGGTCCCAAGCAAGGTTCCCAGAAGGCCACCATCGCGTTTTCCTCCTCCGGCCAGCCCATCATGCTGCGAAAGCTGCTCATGGTGAAGACATCGTTCACCACCCCGTTGTCGTAGCCGTGGAAGAAGCCCGTGGACGCAACGAACGCACCTGAGCCGCAGAGCGCCTAGCAAAACGTAGAACCCTCAACCTCAACCTCCTCCCGCGCTCGGGGCAACCTGGAGGTTTCAACGACAAGCACGCCAAGTGGGAGACCCGGGCACAGATGATCGCGGCATAGGCGTTCTTCCAACAATCGGCCTTCGGCGCTTGCGCCTCGACTGCGTCCGCCGACGCCACGCCCTGAATCGCAACCGGCTCCGCCATGCCCACGACTCGACAGACGGGAAGTTCGGCTGACAATCCTGCTTACTGCTGACCTTGATCCAAACACGCTCCTGTGCGGCGCTGGCATCCGAACTTCAAGCATCCACGGCGGCTTGTTTGGTTTACAGCCTCTGGGCTGTTGTCTGTTTGGGCTGCGTAAGCTGTTTGGGAGATTGGGCTTCAGGGGTTGCAAAATTGCGGCTTACCTGAACCTCACAAGCCGAAACCCTTCTGCCGCCTTCAAGAAGGCCCCAAACCGTGCAAGGTCGGCCCTGAGCCCTCAGCCCCTAAACCTGACAAACCGTGAACCCTACACGGCCCTAAAACCCGAGACCCCAAACCCTAACACTGGGCCCTGTACCAGAATGATTGCGTGGGCTCTTTTCTAGATGGAGGGGGGGGGGACTGGTATATGAACTTTAAGACCTCCCTCCGGCATGGGGGCCGTGTGTGTGTGTGTGTGTGTGTGTGTGTGTGTGTGCTTGTGTGTGTGGTGTGTGTGTGTGTGGTGTGTGTGTGGTGTGTGTTTGTGTGTGTGTGTGTGTGTGTGTGTGTGTGGTGTTGTGTGTGTGTGTGGGGTGTGTGTGTTGTGTGGTGTGTTGTGTTGTGTGTGTGTGTGTGTTGTGTGTGTGGTGTGTGTGTGTGTGTGTGGTGTGTGTGTGGGTGTGTGTGTGGTGTGTGTGGTGTGTGTGGTGTGTGTGGTGTGTGTGGTGTGTGTGGTGTGTGTGGTGTGTGTGGTGTGTGTGGTGTGTGTGGTGTGTTTGGTGTGTGTGGTGTGTGTGGTGTGTGTGGTGTGTGTGGTGTGTGTGGTGTGTGTGGTGTGTGTGGTGTGTGTGGTGTGTGTGGTGGGTGTGGTGTGTGTGGTGTGTGTGGTGTGTGTGGTGTGTGTGGTGTGTGTGGTGTGTGTGGTGTGTGTGGTGTGTGTGGTGTGTGTGGTTTGTGTGGTGTGTGTGGTGTGTGTGGTGTGTGTGGTGTGTGTGGTGTGTGTGGTGTGTGTGGTGTGTGTGGTGTGTGTGGTGTGTGTGGTGTGTGTGGTGTGTGTGGTGTGTGTGGTGTGTGTGGTGTGT